CACAATAATAAATATACCATGTACCAGGAAGACACTTTAGGCGGGGAAGACACGATAGCAAAGTTTGGGGTTGGGGGTATGGACCGGCTTTAGGGGATTTTGAAACCTTCCGGTTGAGCCATGTAGATCTCCTCTTCCAAGTAGCCATTAAGGAATGCTGTCTTAACATCCATTTGATGGACTTGTCCATGAGGGACTTGTATTCCGATTTAGCTGCTTTACGCCACTGGTTAGCGTGGGAAGACTTCATTGCTCCCCGATACGTAGTGGGCTCAGACACATACCGAATAGCTAGTAATGTGTACAGATAATGCTGACGTTGCTCCTGTTCGTGTATGTCTTCCTCAGAGTTGAGGGTTACGTCATTGGCTTCCTCAGAGCTATCAATGGCTTCCGCAGAGAGGCGGGGTCGCTTAGGAGTCGAATGATGCGGAGGATCAGAGTCCGTCTCTGTTCGAAAAGAATAATGTATGGCTGTTCGATCAACAAACTCCCTCAGTGAGGGCAGTACACGCTGGTTCACTGTGCCTGGCGCTGTTGTCATTGCAGGGCCTGATGTGGGTGACGGTGTGATCACTGGTTCTGACACATGTTCAGGCTCCGGTGCTACTGTAGTAGCAGTTGCAGGTGGCAGAGGTACAGGTGCAAGTGTAGCGGTAGATTTCTGCCGATTCGTGGACTGTGTGGGCTCTGGAGTAGACGTCAGGCCTGTGAGAGAGGGAAATTCGTCCTCTTTAAAGACTACATCACGACTGTAGATAATTGCATGAGTATTGATGTCCATCAGACTGTAGCCTTTCTTATGGTCAGGCACACCAAGATACATACACAAACGGGCTCTAGCGTCGAGTTTGTCTCGGTATTGCTCCGTGATGTGGACATATCCGCTGCATCCGAATACTTTGATGTACTGCATGGATGGAATACTTTTGTTAAAGCTAATACGGGGTTCGTCCATCCGTCTTGGAGCTAGGAGTCATATTGATGAGAGTGGTCACATGACAGACACACTCGGCCCATAACTGCTTCGGTAGCTTGCCGTCAAGTAGAAGGGCTCGGACACGCTCCATAATGGTACGCATGCGGCGTTCTGCAACTCCGTTTTGCTGAGGTGTGTATACATTGGTAAACTGGGCGTGAGTTCCATACTTTTTAAATATGATGCGGCCAAGCTTCTCGTAATCTTTAGCGTTGTCTGCTTGAAGCCGCTGAATCTCAAAGTTACCCTGGTTTGCATTGTCTTCAACACTGAACGCGTACCCTATGACAGATATATCTTGTCTGAAAATATTCAGGGCTTTCTTCCTGAAGTCTTCGTAACAGCCATACAACTCGCTACGGTTCTTAATTGCATAAGTGAACATGAATCGAGAAAAGTCATCGATGAAGATCAAGAAGTAGCGACAACCAGTAAGGCTAGGCACAGGTAGTGGACCACAGATATCTGAATGGACTTTTGACAAAGGTGATGTAGCACGTTTAACAACTCTATTAGAGTAAAATGGGGAGCGGTGTGACTTCGCTAACGTGCAGGCAACACAAAAGAAATCTGTCTTTGGACCTAGAGGTATAGATCCATCGAGTCCATGTATGGCCTGACTCCTAGATAGGTCATTCAAGACACGAACGTTAGGGTGTCCAAGGCGTTTATGTAAGAGCAGAAAGGAACGTTGCTTACCTGAGGCAATAAGAGCCGCTGGAGGTGCCGCTGGTTTGGCTTGGAACTGATACAGATCCGTGTTGGTAGCCATGAGCGCTTTGATCTTGAAGCGCTGGTCAGTTTGCATAGAGCACTGTTTGCGGTCAAAGTTGAAGCGAAAGTCGTGCTTCACAGCTGCTGGAATTGAAAGCAAACTGAATTGGAGCTGGGGAGCATACAGGACGCCATGAAGGATAAGCTTCTGCATAGTGCCCTTGGAGTCAGTGACTTCCAGATCGACCCGTCCAATGCCTTCGATGGGGATTTGGTTATTACCACCAACCGTAATGGATCCACCACTGGAGGTGATGTCGGTAAACCACTGAGACTCATGGGTGACGTGTCGAGTGCAGCCAGAGTCGATTGTCCAGGTGGGATCAAGTTCTATCTTGGCTTGAGCAGTGAGGCTAAACGGGAGATTGACTGTGGTAACAACAGCGATGAGACCGGTGTCACGACGTCCTTGGCGAGCTACCTTGCGGCTGTTTCCAGAATCACTGTCGTCGTCATCGTCATTGTCTGACTCAAGCGGGCGGTCCTTGTAGCGATCTTGACCGCGTTGTTTGCCGCCATTTCCGTGCTTGTTCTTGCTACTACTGTTGTTGCCCTTGAAGTCGCGGTTGTTATTATTCTTGCCGTGTCGCCCATTGCCACCTTTGTTCGAGTTCTGGTACGGGTGATCGCGTTTCGAGTTACCCTTGAAGGCGAAGTTAGCAGGTAGCACTGTCCCAGCCTTCACTCGTCCATCTCGCAAATCCTTTTGAAGGCCTCGGCATTGGCGAATGTTGTGGCGTGCGCGATCACAGTAGGAACAGACATTGGCGCTGTCACGGCCTTGGGCTTGTGACACAGGAGGTCCGGTAGCCACTAGAGCTCTCTCACCCTTGGTTGCAGAGGACTCTGGTGTGCCCTTGGCCAAGGTGTAGCGCTCTTGAGCTTGAAGATCGCGAACTTTGCCTTCAATGCTCTCCTTGAGGTCTTCATACGGGATATACTTCCGCTGGCCCTTCCAGATGCGGAGATCGTCCTTCCACGACTTGGGCATCGAGTGGAACAGGTAGATAGACTTCTGTCCCTCGGTCATCACCGATTCGGTGGCTTCTGACGCGGCTTTCATCGCGTTCTCAAGCTTGAGAAAGAACTCAGTTAAGTCAGGAGCCTTCCTCATACTTGATCTCCATCAAGTAGTGTTGAATGAAGTACGGATCACCATGAAAGGCTGCTCCCTCGTACTTCTAGCAGATGTAGCTGAAAATCTCGAAGGATGTCGTGAGATTCTTGACGAGCCGCACGTGCATGTTGTCCATCGTTTTCATCAAGAAGGCTTTGGTCTTGGCTTCTTGTCGACGGCGTTCGCGCTGGCTAAGAGGCTGGTTCTTCTCTTTCTTGGCGCGTTTGCGTGCACGGCGAGCCTCGCGATGGCTAAATGGTCGAACTACCGGGAGGTCCTTCCTCTTATTTGACGTATCGGAGCTGGCTCCAGAGTCTTCGTCCGAGTCCGAGGGCGGCTTGAGCTCGTCGTCGCTCTCGTCGTAGTCCACAGCGTCGGAGTCGATTTCGACGTTCTTGGTAGTTTTGGCATGCGGTTCATCGTTGGCATCAGACATTTCGCTGCCACTGTCTTCACTCTCGTCTTCCGACACACCGTCGTAGTCGGGCTGCTTCACGTAGCCGAGTAGGTGCTTGCCATCTAGTGCTGCGCACACACGGGTCTTCCAGACGTCGAAATTCTCGGCGCCGATGAGACGTGGGAAGTCGTCGCTTGAGGCTTGGCTTGGGCTCATAAATTATAACTCGTATGACAGGTCGAGAAGAAGTAGGGAGAGGAAGAAGACGTTACTTGAAGGCGTCAAAAGACGAAGTGAGTACTTTATTAGTATTAGGAAGCCACCAATAGCTGTACACCAGCCATTAGTGTCTGTATAGTTTAAGCCAGTCATACCGACTTAAACAGGACCTCCTAAATCTCATTATAATATTTTGGAGTGACTAGGTCAAGGTAATCAAACTGTTTAGAGGCTACTTCAACAAAGCATAATCCATCAGATAGACCCACGGCTCAGTTACTACTTAAGGCCATCTTACTTCACTAGCAAGGAAGCTGTCTTACAGCGCATACACACAAACGCTGATGACAACGAGATCACAAGATGTCAGAGCTGCACAAAACCAGACTCGATAAACATTGTGTTCCTGATGGTGTGAACCGGATTCGCTGCATTGTCTATTTGGACAAACTCGGATAGCTCGTTTAAAATCTGGGAGCTGCGCAACTGAAAGAGTTAAAGAGAAAAGTACTCGTTTCCGGTACCACAGTGCTCGCGCCGACAACCAGATCTCGACGCTAATATTTAGTAAATAAGACCGCGCCATCGTTCTCTGTACCCTAGCAATTGTGCTTCAAACACAGTGTTTATCCTTTTTAGAGCTTGTACAGTACTGCACCCCGTTTTCGCGGGGGTGGACCATACCGTATTTGAGATCTCCTACTTCAGAGTGATCTCCTAATTCAGACTGCCCTCCAACCAATCACATATCGAGAATGGAACAGCGCACAAGTCTAGATCTCCTAATTCAGAGTACAAAAAACATGCTATACTGTAACTATCCACCAGCTCATTGCCAGAAATTTGCAATGGCGCGCACTCCCCTCACGCTCGGCCAACGGAAAGGGAGAACCCGTATTTCTGGCACTGGCAAGCCTCCCAAGAAGTTTAAGTGCGTTGCCATTTCATACGCCTACAAGCTTTCGGTTGTGGAGTGAACCTGATTGGGAGCTGCTACGACGGTTGCTGGAAGAAGTGCCCGTAGTGCGCCATGCTGTGGATACGCGTCACGATATAACTTCGTAGTTCCCGAAGAAGAACTTGATAACTAAATTGTTTTGTTTTAAATAATACGTGATAGAGATGCGTCGGTACGTGTACAGATCTTGTGTATTTTGCAACAATACAACTTCAAAAATATTGGGTCTGAAGTAGGAGATCTCAAATACGGTATAGGATTTGCAAATAAACCCAATTGAAGCTTAGAGCTACTGTACTGTTCATTTGGATTCAGGATCATCACATCCGGAGGTTTATCAAAGGTCCAAGGGCGCGAAGACGGGGTGCAGTACTGTACTTTTTAGGCTAGACCAAATTCCTTTACTGTACAAAAAATGTTTTAGCGCTAGAAACAATTAACCTACGCTGTGCATTGCAGCAACATTGCAAGATTCACGCAACCTGTCGATGCATCTAATCCTTGCTGCAACGTAAGTCTCAATAGGTCGGACCAGGATTCTCACATTCTAATCCGACTTCTAAATCGTCCACCTTGCTGCGAAGTTCGCTGCCTTCTTTTAGAAAGCTTCCAGCGCAGCGTGGCCATGTATCTCTCACATGTCATCAGCTTGACTATTCTGCTACTCATAACACTTGCGCAGTCCAAGCCGCTGACCATGTTCGGCTACGGCTACGGCGGCGGGGACCATTTTCGGCATCAGTCGGGCATGGGCATGGAATTCTATGCACCCGAAGATCGAGGCTGTGCCATGTGCCGCAATGGCGAGAACTGCTCAATAGCTGTACACAACCAATCGGCTGGTGTCTTCTGTGGCGACGTACTGAGCACGTTTCAGCCGTGCTGCTGTGCGTACCGGAACGAATGCATGACCTCCATCTTCTCGGACTCGTGCGAGTGCTTTGACGGCGCACGGGAAGAACAGATCATGACCACGCGGTTCTATCTATTCGTGGGACTCTCTCTTATCGCTTGGGGTCTGCTGGCCTACGACAAGATGTGTGCAGGGCCTTACAAGGTCATGAACAGCAACCACCAGATACTGGCCAATTCTCCATCGGCAGCAAGAGCAAGAGGCGAGGAGAGTGTTGTGGATACAGTGGACAGCGACTCGGAGGAAGAACAGAGAACAAGGGGTCAGAGTACTGATGTTGTAGCTGCCTCTGCAGTAGCTGTAGAAGTTGCGGAAGCCGAAACTGAAGTTTGCGATGACATGGTGCCATTGCGACCGCAATCGTCTTCTGCAGCGACAACGGAGAGTATTGATGCTGAAGCTGACTCAGTTAACGAGCCACAGCCTAGTAGCCAGAGGCCACACAAAGGAACTTCGATTCAGACCGTTTAAGTACAATGGATGGATAACTGTTAATGAAGTTTGATAATATTGATACACACAAACTGTCACGGAAACCAGTCCACCGACTTCGCCCATTGAACGGGATTTCTTCCAATTCAATGGGCGAAGTCGGTGGACTGGCACAAACTTCTTGGACAGCATCAACAGGAACAGTGACTACGACAACTTCTTCGGATGCTGCTTCCTTGACAGCGTCCTGGTGTGTGATTTCTAGTTCAGATTCTAGACTTTCATCAAACGTGAAGACGGGTCTCGAGTGTGGAGCTGGAGATTCTAGTACCAGCAGTGGCAGGTTATCCTCGATCTCCGTATCTGTCTGAGAGTCGCGTCGCCGCTTACCGAAGCGTTGACGGAAGCGCAGCAGCTTCATATCGACAGCTTCGCCGTACGCCACCATCTGGTTCCGTCTGAAGTCGCTGAAACATTCTACCCATTGATCTACGTACATTGCAAAGACAAAAAGCGCAAGATACGCCGACAAGTGGATCAGGATCTCGGTGGACACGGACATTTGGCTGCTCCTCGGGTCGTCGACTTGTGGCGCAGTATTTTCTTCAATTAGGGTCTCTGTTTCGTTCCCTGGCTCCGCAACTGAGAGCCTCTCGTGACGAATGGCGTACGGCCAAGGTCCTCCGCATTCACAGACCTTCGACGTGCGGGTTACTCGGCACTCGGTGTAATACGAACAGCAGCACGACTGCGTGTCCGCAGCAGCATAGAGGTCCCCACAAAATGCGCCGGAAGCCGTGTCATTCATGGCGATAGAGCAGTTGCCACTGTCTCGACATAAGGTGCAGCCGGTGGTGACGCTGCCGACGCTCCTAACAACTACGTTGAATGGATATAGTGGCATCGCATTAGGTCCTTGCAGGTTACTGGTGGAGGTTGATACTTCGGCTACGACTTGAGGGACTGTGCAGCCGAGCAGCAGTGTCACCACGCGCTGCGGCGATGCCATGAACACAGTTTTATTAAATAACACGGAAATGAAGGTACCGGTATAATCACCACAGTTCTTGGGATGGGGCAGCATACAATGGTGTCGTGCTTCGGTGTGCGTATCCAGGGGACATCGCGCACAATTCCAACCGCAACGTTGCGACTTTACCGTGACCAATCTGTTTGTTGATTGACCAATGATCGCCAGCTAGTCGGACCAAAACAGTTTCATTTTGTCAACTGGATCACTTGGCAAACTGAAAACCTTTTATTAAGCTCACCAGTGCATGGCACTTTTAAAAGCTTTAGCTTTAACGGAAACTTTCCTAATTGCCAGTGTGTCAAGACGAAGCCTATTTCGCACAACCCGCTGTCCTTGACCCACCATCAAAGCTTATTCGAGGTATCCATCCGTTCTGTCTCGAAAACCACTCTCAAAAAGCAACCCTGTCAACAATTTGACTCTAGCAAATAGACAGCTGTTGCAACTTTGGGGGTATGTCGCTCGTCATTCGGCACAGACATTCCGATAGCAATGGCTTCCACGGCGCGGCAGGCGACGTTGCTGCTTCTCCTGACACTTCAGGTGGGCGTACAGCCGCTTCTCATGGGCTGGTACGCGGTCGAGGCGCGTGACGTTCGCTTGCGAGTGGGGGTCGTGGAGCTCCTGAAGCTGTTGCTGGCGCTGATCCCTCTCAGTCTTTCACGTGGGGAAGGTGGACTGCTCAACCAGCTCAAGACATGGAAACTGCGTGCTGCGTTAGCCACGACAGTAATGCCAGCACTGATTTACGTGCTACAGAATCTGCTCAACCACGCAGCTGTGGTGGCACTGGACGGGGTGACGTTCAACGTGCTTAACCAGACCAAGATCATCTGGACCGCTCTACTCGTGTACCTGCTTCTGGGCACGCGGCAGTCGCCACTGCAGATCGTGGCGCTAACGCTACTCTGCGTAGCTGCAGTACTCATGACGACGTCATCTGTAAGCCCGGAGCATGCAGAGCAACGAGAAACGGACGCGATCGTGTTCACGGGGATGTACCAGGCATTACTAGGCGCCGTGCTGTCCGCTTTAGCCGGGAGTATCATTCAGAGAGCTTTACAAAGAGAGAAACGCAACCAGTACATGGTCACAGTGGAGCTTAGTGTGCTGGGCGAGATGACGCTCTTGACGCTAGCGTTCGTACAGGATGGACTCATGACAAGGGACGGAGACTCGCAGGACGGCATGTGGGACGGCTGGAGTGTCATGACGCTCGCTGCACTCATGTGTCAAGCTATGGGAGGAGTGTTAGTGGGTTTTGTGATCCGAGACTGCGGTAATGTGGAGAAAAGCTTTGCCGTTGTAGGAGGAATGGGACTCACAGCGCTGCTGGAGACTCATTTCAATGGCAAACCGTTCGGTCACAACGCATTTGTGGCGATGGCTCTGGTGGCTATCAGTACGGCGTTGTACACACTTAATCCGCCTACCGTGTCAACAGAAGAGAAAACGGTTGATCTCGTACCCCCTGAGGTTCCTGTGTCAACTCCGAGCGTGAGGCATTCGAAGAAGAAAATGAGTGCAGACACCAGTGAGCTGGAGCCGTTCTTGGCACCTCCGACTGTCGTCACGGTTAGCAGCAATAGTGTACATACGAGCAGCACATCTCGACAAGAAATGCGGAGACCACTGCGACAACTGCAGCCTCTTAACGAGATACCTTCTCGACGGGAACTGGAAGCGATCGTATAGTCTCCAAAATGTATCAACAAATGCACTCTTAATTGCTCCAAAAAATGACTTAAAAAAATCGAGCTAGCCGAGCTGGACAGCCTGCTGCATCGACTGTGTAAGCGCAGCACCTGATAAACCATCGATTTCGTCGGCCTTCCACATTGCACCGATGTGTCCATCAGGACGCACAAGAGCCGCTGCCTTGCTGTTCATAAAGTGAGTCCACGCCTTATTGTCGCTTTCGTCTTCAAGAACTTGCCATGAGAGCACAGAACTGAACGTCGAGGTGTTCTGGGCCTCTTCAATAGCAGTATTGACGTTAGCCGGGCCGTCAGCACTGGAGCGCAGTACTACGAGAGAGAGATGTGTTGCTACTGCAGATGAAGTAGACGACAAACAGGAGCTGATCACCTGTGCGGCGTCGCGTCCAGTAACAACCAGAACGAACTGCACGTGGTCAGACTCTCCACTCTGAAGAGCGAGACGCATCATGTCATGTGTGGATACCCTCGCATTCTCGCTAGAACACCAAAAATGAGGGAATCGCTCACCTACACGGAACTTTGGAGCGTATATGATGCTATCGTCATCGCTAACTTCAGTTCGGAACTCCACAGACTTGTCCAGTGCCGAATCTTCCATAAGTTTCTTTGCACGGTTCGCCCATGAAGCCGCGTCGTATGAGAATCCAATGTCGAAGTGGTAAAACAACATACCCAGCGTCTTACGACGTGTCACGATATCTTTTACACTTGAGCGCATGTGATTGCCCAGTGAACTACCCGCGCCACCAGCTTCCTCGGCTTCGTCCAGCAGGCCCAGCGGCATCTTTCCAACTCGCATGATGCGCTGCGCAATTTCACGCTGAGCACGTAGCGGGAGAAGTTGCATCGGCGCGGAGTTAACGACCTTCGCCAGCGTCTGTGCGTTGTCGTGGGATACGTTAAGCGCGCGTGGAATCTTCATCGTTCGAGCCACATTACTCAGACTGAACTGAGTGTTCGTCTTCGCGATAAGTTGACGTTCACGGCCGTAAGACTTCAGTAGTGCTTCAGTGTTAATACCGTCAGCAGGCAAGTTGTCGGCGTTCGCCTGAATCGTCATAGTGAGTTTCCAGACCAGATTGTGTGCATCTTGCAGTCCCGTGTTCATGCCAAAGCCTCCTGCAGGGGGAAACTGGTGTGCTGCATCACCTACGAGGAATACGCGCTGGTTGCCAGCGTCGTACTGCTTTGCTACACGAGCCCCCATTCTCCATTGCCCTGCTGATAGGATGTTGATGTCGTCGTCGCTTACTTTGACGTTTTTGGGCAGGATATGACGCACGATGTCCTTGCATTGGGCAGTTGAGAAGTCCCAAGGAATTGACTCTTGAGGAGGAAAGAAGGGGATCTGGAAGACCCATTCGCCTTGGTTGAAGTCGTGGGCGATTAGAATACCGACCACTTCCTTGTTGAACACAAAGTACAGCATGGCTGGGTTCTCACGTGCGGCTTCCGACAAGACCTTGCTCGTGAAGTGAACGTTGGCAATGCTTTGAATGTTGCGTGTTCCTGCCATGTTAATGCCGCAGAGATCGCGAACCAGACTGTGCGCACCATCCGCTCCCACAACGTAATCGTATGAATCTTGCTCGAGCGTGTTGGTATCTCTAGCAACGTCCAAACACAAGACACTCATCAATCAGTTTGTGCAGCACAGCCATGAAAGCACTTCACAACTAACTTACAAGTGGCGCAGCGTCACTTCTGGTGTCGCTGAACTGTCAGCTGGTAGCATTAAGCTTTCAAGCTCAACGCCACGTTCGACACGGACATTGTTGTCAGCCAGGAATTCATCAAGCAGTGTTTCAAAGCGGTTTTGCGGGAAGTGCAGGAACTGCGTCGGTGATAATTTCGCTAGTGACTTCCGTAAACTGTCACCGTTAGTCATTGCCTGGTCGACCGTATCGCGTGGGATACCTAAATATCAATTGCAGAATTGAGTCTCACCTCGGGACCAACTCCAATCCGTCGTCACTTACATGGACCGAACTGGTCAATACGTGCGATTTCGCGGGATTTACCTACTCCTGTGCAGTAAATGTAGTCACGCCACTATCCACACGCACGTCCAAACCTCAGTTGACACACGTTAACTACATCGTGCCGCTTCAAATTACTTACAAACACGCTTGGCGCTGCCTGGTCTAGCAACCGGTCGTGAAATTCAGGCATTGCGGCGTAGAGAACTTCCATTGTCCGCAGATTGATAAAATGCGCCTGCGGGTGCGACGTGGGGCTGCGCTGACGCTCCACCACGCGAGTTGGCACGTTGTACAGTTTCTCCAACATGAAGGCGGTGGCCAGGCCCACGGGCCCGCCGCCCACCACCAGCACGCGAGGCTTTCGCGCTTGCAGCAAACGAGACGTCGTTGTCATGGTTATAGCTTAAATCTCACGAGAGGTGGAGAATTGCAGCGACAGCCAGACACCTCGCAATGCACGCGCAATTGATACGCGACGTCACATGAAAGTTACAGCTCAAATAGAAGATCATCGAGTGGACCACATCAGCTAAAGTAATTTAAGTACGAAGATACTAAAACCCGGCAGAGTGATTGTCACTTCAACGATGGAGTTCCGCGCGCTGCCCTTGGCTGATGAAGCCTCCGAGCGGCTCAAGCAATTAACGAGGTCATTTAAGGTCTGCTATGGGCGACCGCCAACGGGCGTAGCTCGTGCTCCTGGCCGTGTGAACCTCATCGGAGAGCATGTGGATTACGAGGGGTACGCGGTGCTGCCCATGGCAATCGAGCAGAGCATCTACGTGGCCTTTAACATGCTGAAAAGAAGCAGTACGGGAGGCATAGTCTTAAGTGTGGCAAACGCGAAGTCACAATACAAAACTGTTACGTTGTCACTGAGTGAGAAAGAACAGCAAACGCTCAAGCAACAAGGGGCAACATGGGCATCCTACGTGTTGTGTGGTGTAATGGGGGTTCAAGACGCTCATCCAGACTCATTCAAGGGGCAGAATATCGAGCTACAGATGTTTGTGGATGGAGACATCCCTGCTGGCTGTGGCTTGTCCAGCTCCAGTGCGTTGGTTGTCGCCTCTGCCTTGGCCACGAGTAGCGCACTGCAGCTGTCAATGACGAGAGCGGAGCTAGCCGAGCTCTGTAGACGTGCAGAACATCGTGTAGGGACCATGGGAGGCGGGATGGACCAAGCAGCGGCGTGCTTGGCTCAGCGTGGCGTGGCGCTGCACCTTGATTTCTCATCTACCCCACCGATAAGTAAACCTGTCAACGTTCCGGATGCTGCCGCTGGAGTGACGTTCGTCGTTGCCAATAGTTTTGTGGTGGCGGAGAAAGCTGTCGACGCGGCAACTCATTTTAACAAACGCGTCGTGGAATGTGCGCTCGCTGCGAAAATGATAGCCAAAAAGGCAGGAATCAATGACTGGGAAAAGGTACGTTTAGCTATCTATGGCGGGTACGAGATAAGGATAAAAATACTAATGAGATGGGTGATGGTTGTGACAGATCACACGGCTCGTGGATGTTCATAAGTCATTAAAAGGCAGGATTTCCTATCGCGAGCTGCAAGAACTAGCGTCCAGTTCGTGTCCTTTGAAGGAGTATTCAGCTGCTGAGATCGAAGTCGAGCTTGGTAAGCCGATTCTCGAGCTTTTCAGGGGATCGTCACTGGAAGCGGCTGTAATGGTATGTGACTGCTGTGCAAAACACAACGATGCGTCTAAGCGTTGACACTATGCAGGCGGTGGTTGCTTCAGCGTCGTCGTTCAAGCTACAACAGCGAGCTCTGCATGTTTGGAGCGAGGCAGAACGAGTGGAGCACTTTCAAGAATTATGCGCTGCACTGGCGGAAGAAGGTGAACGATTGCTGGAAGATGCAACGTTGCAAAATCAGTTGCGAAGTCTTGGAGAAGTCATGAGTGCGAGTCACCAGAGTTGCAAGTCATTATACGAGTGCAGCTGTCCTGAACTGGACGCCTTGGCCGACGCTGCTATGGCCGCTGGTGCTTTAGGAGCTCGCCTAACAGGTGCAGGGTGGGGAGGCTGCATCGTCGCGCTGGTGCGAAAGACTGAAGTGCGCCAGTTCATGGATTTAATCCGGTCGAGCTACTATAATCAACGACAAATATCGACCTCTGATGCCTTGAACGCAATGTTTGAGTCAGCCCCAGCGCCTGGTGCAGACATCTACACGATGGGGCTGAAGTAATTTGCCATTCGCGGCTTCTTACGCGGTCAGTAACGAGCGGAGTTTCTCCAGATACACATCCTTCGCTTGTAGCTCGATGTCTATGAGCGCAAGCTGGTAAACGAAAGAGCAGCATACGTTAGCTCCGATGTCGCACCAATTCAGTAGTGCAAAACAAAACAAACCTCGGCTTTCCGCTGTGCTTTTTTGGCCGGTGTCATCGAAAACTGAAGAATGGTAAAGTCGCGTTTCATGTCAAACAGCGATTTCCGTCGCTCCGCTATCTCTTGTTCATACTGATCAACCTCTTTTCGCATCTGTAAGAGCAGCCATATTTTTATTAACAATCAAGAACAAGCGTCTAACACTGGTCGAGCAATAATTTATGATACCTCATAATTGGCTGTAAAGCGGTCAAGCTCTAATATGACTCGGAAGTACGTGTCGCTCCTCTGCAGTTGTGGAACGGTAAGGGTAAGTGAGGTCAATAAACTACACGCAACAAGGTGGTATAGCTTACATGTATCTTCTCGAAAGCCTTTTTGATAGCAGGCCGCGTCTGGATCCAGCACGGAGACACTAACGCTGCTTTGTTGCAGGGGATCACTCCTATTTCTACAGCATCCTACAGTTGCATCACCGTATAATGTTGGTAAGCGACGACAGTCAGAGTAAACCTTTGTCAGACGCACCTTTGGTCGTAGGAATAATACTTGCTGATCCATCAGGTCCAAGAACTTTTGTTCACCTTCTTCGCGGTAGTTAAACGGCATCAGCGCTTCGACGGGGTTCACACAGTTGAGTGGCGTCTTGCTCTTCTGGTCCAGAAGTTGCTGTGGAGAACCAATGAGAGAACTTCCGCCTGTTACTGGAGCCACATCAGCAAATGTTTCAAGGCACTTCCAGGTTTCCAATGCGCTGAATGCTTTTGACGTGTCAGTGATGTCAGCTGCATCATCGGAATCTCTTGATAAGGAGTCCGAGTGGTCGTTGGCACGAGGAAACTGCAGGCTTCCATCCAAGTGCAATGCTTGCAGTAGTTTGACTTCTGTATCTCGGATGAAGCTACTACACACTTCTTGAATGGTAGCGAGTCGCTCTTCGTTGTGTGCGTCATTTAGGTTGCTATTCTTTAGTCGTTGGCAAATGTCGTCGATATCACTCCACCAATTCCCAGTTGTACTCAAAATTAGCTCCAGCTCCATAGCACGCTTGACGTGCCCCTCTGTCGGCTCTCCTTGATCACTAGTGGGTTCTTTGCTCATTTGGTTGGTGTCTGGGAGCAATTGTAACTCGTGTTTTTCCTATATATCCGGCATGAAAAGGTGTCAGGACCTAGTATCTCCAATTAAGCAGGAAATTTACGATTTCGTACCGCTAGAGCATGCAGTTTTTCTTCAGCTGACGTAGAATCCACGAGATTATTTGCAGGACGCAACAATATGCCAACGAAGTCTTGAACACTGTTCAAGCCACTATTGGTTTGTCCAGATATATGACGCGCCTGAATCCACTGCACCTTGGACGGTGTAACAGTAGATGTGGTTAGCAGTACCACGTGAGCTAAGCCTTCACTCGAGACTTGGTGAGTCCATCGAAGCCATCGCTCGGCGTCTTGGTCGCTAAGCGTGTCAAAGTCCCTCAGCAAGAATACAGGAGGTGCAGATACTTCGTCGGCTGTCGAGTTCGTTGCAGCATCTGCTTCACCCTTGTCAGCACTATTCGTATCACTGTATTGTAAGTCGCGGAGCGCATCCAGCAACGCATCCATCATCCTCTCCTCCGCACTAGCTTTTATTACGACACGGGGATCAAAGTCTTCAGGCACATTTCCATGAAGCGCAGTCATCAGAGCCGTGTACTGTGTAGCAATTCGATGGACTGCAAGCGCCACAGACGAAGTTGGTGCAGTTAGTCTCTTCAGCGTATCGTTCGTGGGCTCGTCGTATGACCCCAGCACCTTGGCACCTGTCAGAAGACTACAGAACACAGATATCTACTCAGCTGACGCGATCATCCAGTTAGATAAATGACCAGATTGCTTACGCGTTCGTGACGATAGCTGGGTTATCACCAGCTGAGATTGATAATAAGTACGGGAACTTTGGCGGCGCAGAGCCCAACCAAGCGGAAGCGCCAGTCTTCGAGTCTTCCGTATGTTTCTCTATTTCGCAAGAGCTACGCCATTTCAGTAGCTGTTGCTTCGCATGCACGACGTTGTTGTTGCTGTCGTAATGATACGCCGCTTCTCCTACCGCGAAAGCGACCAGAGGCGTCAGTGTGGCCACGGCCACACTGACAGATCGAGCGTTGCGCAACATTTTCAGCTGTCAGTTCAATATTAGATGTTGAGGACCTAGCTTTTAACATGAAATGCGATACACAGGTGTATCTATTTCGACAAGGTTTTAGATGGATGGACTGCAAACACTTTGGACATGCGTTGCGTCTGTCAGTTCAGTTTTCAATTTCCTCTTCGACATGTAGTTGGATAGCAGCAAGAGAGCTTTTACGTGGAGTAGCGTGTGATGTCTTTCATCCTGGGTGGGCTTCGGTCTGCTCAGAGTGAATTCCTCGTTTCTGACGAATCCGCTGAACAAGCGGCCTCAATGAGACCAACCTAAGACTAAAACGACTGATGCTCTCCCATCAAATGCATTTTTACTAGGATCTCACAAGTGCGTAGAGCAACAAGCGCTGCCAACCAATGCTGTTGCTTGTGACTAGGCACTGTTGCCTCATCGGGGCAACTACAACTGCTATTGTACTCGTCATTGAACGTTGGATCAGATTATTTTAACATGCCATTTGAATTGGCGAAACTCCTCGAGTTGGCACCAAAATAGAACATGGAGCCAACGTAAATGTTCCTTAGCATCTCGTGCATCTAGTGAGCTATTTGCGTTCTTACGAACATGTCCGAGCCAAGCACCTCGCAGCAAGGATTACCTAGTACCTTCATGTCCAAAGCCAAGGAAGATGGCCTCTTCAGAGGGCAGTGAACCCGGGACCTGGTTGCTGCGTGTCTACAGATGGCACACCGCACTGTTACGACTGTGACGAGCACCTTCAGAGCCGACAATGAGACCAAGTTTGAGGTGCACATCAGCGATCGAGCCCTCCGCGTTTACTTTCTTTGCAAAGACGCCGCTCGGTACACTGTGCTTGATGTCACCGTGGCCAATCTCGCTGTTCAGCACTGTGGCCTCCTTGATGATCGCTTTCTCGCCCTGTTGCATGTACTGTACATGAACCAGTTGTATTGTACTTCTGTAGTATTTCATGTTTTTTTGCTTTATTTGGCTGCGTTGTTCTCCTAGCTACCTTACCTATCCTATGCGTACGAGACCTCTACTGTAGTATCTTCGTACTACCGGTACGCGTTGCTGTGAGTCGTTCGTTCGCCAATAAATACGAGCCACTTAGCTCCCATTGTCCTAGTACTGTAGGTGGCGTATCCGTCCATTAGCACCGAGCACGAACTCCGCTTCATCTTCGTTTGGTCGAGGGTCTTCACTTGGCCGCACATCTTCACGTCTGGCACTGGGTTTGCGGAATGGTGGCAGCATATTGGCGTCGCCCTCTGACGGACTTCTACTGAACGTCGTCGACACATCCGACGGGTTTTCCTTCATCTCAAAGTCATACTCATCCAGCGACGAGAGCCGGCCACCAACGAGTCCATCGCCACGACGACTATCATTTGGCAAGCCGACGATAGGGAGTCCCGACGTCTCGTAGTTCGCTGGACTATACTCCACAGCTGCACTGCCTCGAGCGCTCAGCATACTAATGCCCTCGACACCTGCATACGGAGACGTGAACTTGTAGAAGTGCTCGTTATCCAGATGATCATGGTACTCCCCACTCATAGCGCTGCTACTGCTGCTACGAGCAGAGAAGCGACCACGGAAGAAGTTGGTAATACGCTGACCCAGGAACGAGCTAGGTCGATGCTCCAGATCCGAAGTGCCATCGCCATTCCGCAAAGAAGAAAAGATACTGTTCGTGTACTCGGAGCCCGACACAGACGCCATCGTGGCAAAATCGTTCGAGTCTTTCGACATATTGTCCAGAATCGTGTTGAGAATCTCGGCGGCTTGTGGCGCAGATGGACGAAGCGCAGGATTCTGCGCCCAGCACTCCTCAACAAGCTGCGTAAACCGCTGTGGACAGCGCGGATTAATCGGTGGACGCTGCTCTACTAGCACCTTCTCGCGGACTTCAAAGTCGAATTTCGTGTCGCTGAAAGGAACAGCACCGTCCGAAGCGATTTCCCACAGCACCATACCAAACGAGTACATGTCTGTGGCACGACTGTATCGACAGTTGTGCGGGTCTTGAAGGATCTCGGGGGCATTCCAACGCCATGTACCAGCAAACGACGTAAGTTCGTCCGAGACACTGGGGTTCTGCTCTGCTAGACTGACAGTTCGCTCGCTGTATCGCACACGGTTGACGAAGTTCGACACCTTGGAGATACCAAAGTCTGCTAGTTTGGCTTGCCACGTCTCGGTTACCAAAATATTCGAAGCCTTGAGGTCACGGTGAATGTACGTCGGATTGTGAGCATGTAAGTAGGTCAGCCCCTTGGAGATATGAAGAGCCAGCGCCACTTTACGTCGCCAACTGAGCGGGAAATGACGTTTAAGGACGTCCTTGAGACTGCCACGTGAGCAGTATTCAGTCAGGATTCCCAACTTGCCTTCGAAGTATCCAGCACGCATGAATAGAGTGATGTTCGGATGCCGCAGACGAGAGCAAAGCTTGGCTTCTTCAATGAAAGCTTCCTCGGAGTTCTGGATAATAGTCCGGTACAGCTCCGCATCCGCCACGCCACCTGCACCTACATTAGGAAGCTTAATAACTTTCATTGCAACTTCAATTCCCAGCCATTGCGCCTTGAACACACTGCCAGCTGCTCCTTCAGCAATGAACGCCACGTTCGACAGCCCGTTCAGCTCTTCAAGAGTCACTGTCTCGTTGCCCACATACGTGCTTTTCATCGATTCCTTGCCGTTATTGCTGCTGGCTGCACTGCTGCCAAAAACAGTCCGGAACGACGAGGCCAAGACATTCCCAGCGCCGTTGTTTCCACTCCCAGCCAAGAGTCCTGTGCCCATCCGATCTCGCTGACGTTCTCCGTGGCGTGAGCTGTTGATACTGGACTGTAATATTGTTCCGTTGTTACGTAACTCGTCGTCATACAATCTCGGTTCTCCTAGATGTCGCCAGCCAAAGACAATGGCGTTAAGCAGCGGCACACTGAACAGTAAGCAGTCTGCCACTTCGTAAATGGCGTAGCTGATCGAGTCGAAGCCCAGCACGTAGCACAGCATCATCGGAAGCTGTAGTATCTGCACACCAAGGAAGTAGTACATGAGCTTCTCGTGAGCTATCCGAAGCGCCTGTTGAGCCTGCAATTCCCACGTCTTGGTAGATGCCAAAGCCGCGTTGTCTGCGCTGTTACCGAGCGATGGATCTGCAATAGCAGTGCCAGCCAGTTCTTCCACGCTGTTCAAGCGTCTCCTCTGTACGAACAGCACAGCATTGGCTGCAGTCACACAGCCAGCTGAGAGTGCGTACACTGTTATATACAAATAACGCTGGCACTCCGCAAGCATATCCGCCGCGTCGTTGTCCGTGATATGAGCTTGTAGTCGCGCTGTTGAGAGCAGTCCACTGCCGAGTCCGATGGTCCAGATTGTCAGCCAGCTCGTCCGTACTGGGAACCTCTTCATGGGTGGACTGGTGGCTGCGTGGCCACGTGCCCAGCGATGTGTTCGCAGCACGAAGACCGCGAGTACGACGCCCCAGAGCAGCGATACTAGGAAGCTGATGTGATATAGAGAGTCGATACTAGCGCCAATTACCGTGCGCACCTTCACACCTCCACCCATGACCATGTCCATCGACTGATTGATTGCCCCTGTGACCGAGAATAACCAGTCCGTCATTATGACCGAATAGAAGAGCGCAGGACCTGTTGCGTGTGGAGGAGGTAACGGCGGCTTCCTGCTTCGACTGCGTCCTCGGCCCCTTCCACGCGAGCTGTAGCCAGGGTCTGGTATCCGTCGAAACAGCACGACAGCAACGACAGACGAGATGACGGCAGCCGTACAGATGATCACGAGGCGCGTCGTCTCCAGCGCGTCCTCTGTCGCCGTCATTTACGTCCTTGTTGAGTCTCCTGACCGGTCCGCTTGGTCCTAGTACTGAGAAAGAGAATGCGCGCCTGCGTTGCCGTCGCCGGCCCGAAAGTGGCCAGCTCCAAATGAACCCGCCTCCAAGAAGCATTACCAGCTGTCGATCGTTTTGCCTGTCTTTACTTTCGTTCTTATTACGCTCGAAAATCCCATTATATGACATATTGTTAACTTTTATACAGAATTCTGTGTCCAGTTAAAAGAGGATGACGAAAACCCTCTAAAAACGATTCTTCTTGAAAGGGTTTCTATATTGATATGCGGCACTTAGATTTAGTTTTGTTTCTAAGCTGACTTCATCACAGCCGATTGGATGCAATTCTTCTGAAACTTCAATGTAGATCAACCGCCAAAAATACATAAAAGTTCACTTTTCAACGGACCAAGTCTTATGGACTCCGTCGACTGGACGCCGTACGTCGAGGCGCTGCTTTCAGGCCAGCAGTCCGCCGACCAAGTGGTACAACAGCTCTGCAAGGACACGGGATTAAGTGCTAATGATGCCACGCAAACCACGGCACAAGTCGCAGCGCTCGTGCTGCAAGCGATAACCAAGCACTCGTCACCAGGCAACTACGTAGCTCCAGTGGTGGAGCAGCAGAAGAAGGAGGGCGCGGCTGTCGCACATGCGCACCACCACCAGCGCAGCGCCACTATTACGCGCGTAGTTGAATCAGCTATCGCCCAGAAAATTCTGCACGACGACAGCCCGCTCACCAACCTTTTCAACTGGGACGCCTTTCAGAAGCGTTTGGCCAATCTGCATACCGCCTTCCCAGAGCCACAATTCAATCACGCGCTGGCCGTCAAGACGAACCCTACACGCGGTCTGCTGCGTGGTGCTTGCGCTAAGGGCTTCGGCGCTGAGTGCGCGTCCATCGCTGAGGCCAAGCACGCGCTGTCACTCGGCTTCGAGCCGCGCAAAGTCGTGTACGATTCACCATGCAAGACAATAGGCGAGCTGCGCGAGATGCTGATGGCTGGTGTATATATTAACTTGGACAATGAGGAGGAAATCCGCAAAGTGAACGAGATTTTTACTGAACTAGGCGACTCGGAGCAGACCAAGAACAAACACGCAGAGCAACTTGGACTGCGCATCAACCCCGTGGTGGGTGGTGGCACGATTGACGCCACTAGTACAGCCACTGTCACCAGCAAATTTGGTCTGCCATTAACTGCAGAGACCAAGTCTCGTTTGCTGGAGATCTTCAAGCAGAACTCGTGGCTGCAAGGTGTACATGTCCACGTGGGGTCGCAGGGCTGTCCCCTCGATCTGCTAACTGCGGGTGCTAAGAGAGCAGTAGCATTCGCACTCGAGGTGAATGCTTACGTAGGACACAAGCAAGTTTCCGTACTCGACATTGGTGGGGGTATGCTGACTGTGTACGACGGCGGAGAAAGTGAGGCTTACGACTTCAACGAGTACGCAGACGTAGTGCGTCGACAGGTGCCTGAATTGTTCACAAGTGGCTTCTCATCTATCATCACGGAATTTGGACGCAGTGTCTTCGTTAAGCCCGGCGTGACGGTGTCCAAGGTTGAAGCAATTAAGGATTGGGCTGGCCAGCACATTGCTGTGGTTCATGTCGGTGCCGACCAGTTCCCTCGCACAGCGTATCTACCAGAACAGTGGTCTCACTGTATCACTGTGCTCGACAGTCACGGACGTACCAAGACGAACCCCAGTAGTGACTATGTACGTCAAGATATCGCTGGACCGCTGTGTTTCTCTGGCGATTTCCTCGCCAAGCAATTGTTATTGCCGCCTATTCAAGTAGGAGACTTTGTCGTGATTCACGACACTGGTGGCTACACTATGTCGATGCACTCCAAGTACAACAGCCGACAAGTATCGTCGTATTTCGCCTACTCTGCCGTGGGTGATAAAGTGAACTTCTCGATGCTGAAGGAGCGCGAGACGACGGAGGAGACGCTAGCCTGTTGGGGTCTTGACCGCGATGTCGAGTTGTGAAAAGGTACTTACAGCAACGCTACAGTAGACATCATTGACAAGCAAGGACAGGTTTCTCTATTTCTCAGGCGGCAATGAAGTGCATTTCAGCCTTAGCTTGTCACTCAATCATCACGATACGAATCAACCTTGTGCGATTTTAATAACCGCTCTCAAGCATACTGCGGATGTAGATAACCTGGCCGAACGCGATGCCCACGAGTACAACGTTGGTAATTAAGGACATCCACTTGACGCGGGCATTCGCGCTCTCAGCAGCTGCAGCCAACAAGTTCGTAAGTTAGTACTTTAACCTTAAGAAGAAGAAAAACACCTATGTCCACGCACCATCACGACTCATTCGTTCTCGGTGCTTAACAAACGAGATGTCACCACGAAGAGTGAAGACCGACTCCTTGAAGAACGCAACTTCGTGCATTAGCTCCAAGCCGAGGTCTGTAAAACAGACCCACAAATCTATTAGCGCCACATGTAGTTCCCAATAACTGCACCAACACACACGCGTACCTTCAACAACGATCTGTGGGAAATAGTCCTCGGCGACGTGGTGGACGCCGAACACAACGGCGTCACTGTTCTCGTGTGCGTGGATCGAGAAGGCGATCGTCTCAGTCTTGCCGTCCAGCTTATTCTCAAAGATCTCAGTGATATCAAACGCAACGTGACTTCCCAGCTCCGTCACAGCGTCATCAATCACATGGTCACGGTAGCCGCTCGTGGCGTAGCTCTCTAATGTCTCCCATGTGACTGGGTATCGCATGCGGTTGGGTAGCAGCGCAAGAGCGATGTCCACCTGATCTCCATCCGATATGCTGTCCACAGTGAGCACAAGCTTCACGCGCGTGTTGCCACGAATAATGCTACGTGACACGCCGACCAGATCGAACTCCATAACGCCCATCTTGGTAGGTTGGCCGTTCACTGTGGTCACAGCCATCTGCGTGTAGGCTGGGACTGTTGGGGCGTCCTTGCTGACTGTCGCTGCTACGTTGGGCACCAGCGTTAAGCTCCGAGCACCCGTCGAAATGAAGTCGAAGGAGTAGAAGAGCGTGATCGTGGATGACGCGCCCTTGAGCTTGCGGAAGCACAAGTGATACAACCCGCTCTCGCGTACTGTAGCCGTGCCATGGTTGTTCTGTTCAGCCTTCCACGCCATCACCTCACGTTGCGATGGGTTCTTCACCTGTGGGGTGTTGGATAATTAGTGTAATAATTGACAAAAGTGCAGGACGAATGGCAACATTGCGGACGTACCACCACATCGACTAGGTCGTAGCTCTTAGGCTCGAGAATGCCAAAGCGGAAAAGCACCTTGTTGTTGGAAGCGCGAGCGTTCACTGCCTCCATGAAGCATTCCTATTGAGGTAATTATAATGAGGGTAGTGTGAGGCAGTGTTAGGAGACCCGTGACATTTTATGGACGACATCATACCTCACTCCGAGATGTCAGTGTGAACTGGAAGCGCGACGCGTGAGCATTCGGCAGCAGGCAAACGCACATTAGTAGTGTCACTGCCAGCGAGAGGAAGCCACGCATGGTTCTATGAGGCAGGTCGAATCGTAGACGCCGATTCAGGAGGATTTGGCTCTCCGCAACGGAAGTGTCCGATCGTTGCAGCAACTCCCAATTATTAAGTTGCCCTTTTCAAGGGCAACTTCGATTATTTACTTTATGTGGTACAGCAAAATAGTATTGAAATATTTGTAAGGAATAATTTAGTTTTGTGATGAAAAATTTCAGTAAGTCAGCAAAGTTGGCTGGCCAGTCCTTGGGAGTGCATCCAGCTCATTTCTCCCCATTATCTACATGTAATTCACCATGTCTTTGACAACCCATCACTGTATCCGATACAAGTCCAGGCCAGCGTGATAGAATGGCTGTGAAAATGCAGCTTTACGCACAGTCTAAGATTAACGTGTAAGCTGGTTTGTCGAGTGCGTGATCTCATCCAACTCGAGTAGGTAATTGTGATGCACTACCACTCGGTCGCGTTTTACTCCAACAGTGCGTGTGTGCTACCGCTGGTAGCGAGGATAACCATCACGCGTGGGGCAGTGCTCGCAGTCCGAGCCCGTCTCATAATGCACTTAAACTCGGAATAAGATGAAGCTCTTGATGAACCGCCGTCGTCGTGTTGAGCAGTGCTCAATGAGCACGCCTATAATAGACTTTTATTAATAGTTCGTCATGGCGGGGCTTTTCCCCGAATAAGCGCCACCAGATTCCACGAACCTCAATAATTGAATCAGTTAAGGTAGTTCTATTTTAATGTAGATACGCCTGAATCTGGATGCAGGGCAGCTGTATCACTTTAGCTCTGGTGCCGCTGCCATGCTGTGAGGACAATCCAGATTTCCAACATCTCTCGCTCGTTGACAGAGCGCGTCAATACCCGTCCTCGAGGTCTTGGGCCGTGTCCAACGGGTTGTTGAAGCCCGCGCCGACTTGAACAGCTTACAGATTCGCTGTAAGGCATACAAATTTCAAGCCTTTTCAGGTTGACTACGCACAGGTCTTTTCAAACAGCGACACTATCGCTTTGAATCTTCCTCATCGATTTGTTTCGTGAGATCCATGCGTTTGTAGAGGCGAACTGTATTTTTCGTGGCATTGTTGCGGCCACCGTTTCTATCCCTTGCATGCAGCAGTATCCTCGGCACTCGGCGGTTGCGGCTTCGTTCATACGCTCACTTCCCATTTTCCTGTTGAGCGCCTCGCACCGCAGAACTCCTATCAATAGATAGGACACCAGCCCCGTACCGCGCAACGGATAAAGACACTCAAACTGTAACACCCCACACATCATCGCATCGAAATGGTCAAGTTTTTAAGTCCCCTGGCGCTATCGCTGGCCGCCTCTGCCGCTGCAGCGGCCGCTTACGCCGCTCACTTCCGTTTCCTCCCACAGTTGACCAAGCCGACCCCCTCCTCGCCTGCCAATATGGCTCCGCGCACGTCGCACCAGCGCAACATCGATGAGATCAACCGTCTAGACGGCTACGACGTTGTGATCGTGTGCACGTCCACTCCGCACCAGGCGCAGTACTGGCAGGATCGTCTAACAGCAACACGTGGCTCCATCTCGCCTAAGGACGCGAAGGTGATCGCCGTGTTCGAGGACTGGGAGGGTGGTGCTGGCAATGGTCTCGGCACGCTTTACGCATACACGAAGGCTGTGGCGGCTGGCAAGGAGCTCTACGGCATCGACATTCCCGCACTTCTCGCTGCTGGTAGCATCAGTGTCGCACTGTATCACACTGCCGGTAAGGGTACGCGTCTTGCACCTCTGCCTGGCAGTGAGAACAACAACAAGTCTGGCGTCAAGCTGCCTGCCATGGTAGAGGTTAAGGACAAGTTTGTTCCCATGACAATCCTCGAGGCCGTAGTCAAGCAGACGGGCGTGTACGCCTCCAGCCGTCGTGGACGACTGTCGGTTTTCTGGGGAGATCAGGTGTTCATCCCGTCGGCTGAGGTCAAGTACGAGGCCAAGCACCACGTCGATATTCTGGCTGCTCTTGCTCCAATGCCATCGGAGAAGGAGTGGAAGGAGAAGGGACTTGAGAAGTACGGTCTCATTGTAGTCAACCAGCAAGACAACGCTGCTCAAGTGGACAAGGTGACTCACGAGACGGCTATCCGTCTGTTGTCTTCTTTCGGTGAGATGAAGTCCGTTGGCACCAGTCTGGGATCCTTCAGTGTGGACGCCGACATGCTTCGTGCATTATTGAGTGAGTTTGCCAAGGAACTGGCCGCTAAGAGTGGCAAACTGGACAGTGACCCACACTTCTGGATGCCGTTGACGCTCGAACTTAACGCGTACACGGAGGTGATGGCTCAGAAGGGTGTGGATAAGGCCGAGTCGACCGCTCACTACCAACGTATGCAGCAGATGATGCGCAACTTTGAGGAGACACGAACGAAGGAGCTCGGACTCTTTGGCTGCGTAGACGTCGGCAGTGACGTGTACTGGTGGGACTACGGCCAGCTGAAGCTGTACTTGAAGAACAACCGTCTGGTGACTAAGCCTGGTGTGGAGGCGGATTGCTTGCGGTCGTTCCTGGGTATCAGCAACAGCATGGAGCACAGCCAGATCGGCGAGAGTGCGATCATTAAGGAGGCCACAGTGTTGAACAGCGAGATTGGTCACGGTGACATCAAGCGCAGTGTTCTAAGCGGGGTCTTTGCAAAGGAAGTGAACGCGGATGGCTCGATCCTTATCAATGTGACTGCACGCTCGATCACAGCGCCTAACTGCGTGGTGTACAACGTCACGTCGGACGAAGCCGAGGGTTTGTGCCTGGAGGAAGGAAGTGTGGTCGTTGGTGTGCTGCTGCCCGATGGCAAGAAGGTCGTGATGCGTTCGAGCATGGACGTGTGCGGCGGCAAGGCGTGGAAGACTGTGCTGGAGGAGAACCAACACTCTTTCGAGAATATCTATGAACTCAATGCGGATGCCAATGTGTCGAAGCTTGAGAAGCTGATCCAGGATGAACACGTCAAGATGCGCGAGATGGTCTTGTCCTCCTAATCGACATGCAATCCTCAGCTAGTACAACGTAGAAAATCATCCCACCGGTTGCCGGTAGAAACACCTAAATACATTCGATTCATTCCAACATTTAGAGATAAATTTCTTTCGATGTTGTCCACGTTTGTTGCACATCAAATTTGTGAAGCCACCTGACGCAGGCGACGTAGCAGATGGAGTTCATGCAGTTTGATTGCACGCTTTACAATCCAACGACGATGTTTGACAAGCGTACTTAGTGTTTGATGTCTACCACATAAATCATAAATCCGGGTGCTGATAAATTTACGATCATGCCGACGGATGCAAAGCTCCAGATACTCATCGCGGCGGTGGGCGCCGTAGCGCTGCAGCAATTCGTGTCACGACGTCGCTATCAAGCTATAGAAGCGGAGAAGGTAAAGCAGCTGAAGTCTCAAGCAAAACAGCTGGCTGAAGGCAGTGATACAGACGACGAGGCATTTGTGGTGGAGATCGAGTATTGCACAGGCTGCCGCTGGATGCTGCGTGCCGCGTGGATGGCACAGGAGCTGCTCACAACGTTCCAGCAGGACGATAACAGCCGTCTTCGGTCCGTGACGCTGACACCCAACTCGCGTCAAGGAGGCGTGTTTAACGTGTATTTGCGAGATGTGGGGCCCAATGCGGATCCAGATGCCGAACCAGAAATGCTGTGGTCTCGCAAGATCGCGCGTCGGTTCCCCGAATCCAAGGAGCTTAAGCAACTAGTGCGTGACATTGTGTGTCCTGAACGGGGACTTGGCCACTCGGACAAAAAGTAAACCGAGAAGAGCGTGAGATTCCAATCGCTTATCGCTGCCAAAACTATTAAATCCTGCTATTGAGGCGCTCGAAGGTTCGCCATGACAGTGGGAAGAGATGATCGATTTGAACCTCCTGGAAACACGGCACTTGGGCTGATACATCACATGTTCGTTGGTTTCGACAGATATAATTTTGCTAATAAAGTCGCTGAACGTACCGTGAAAAGAGACTTCGCATGCTCTTGCCTAGCGATGCTACACCAGCTAAACTTTTTGGAATTCCAGAGAAGGATGTCCGTCGACCGTCCGGGTGGGTTACACACTTGATAGCAGACACTTGGAACTCTCGCCATGCCCACGGATGGGCCTGTATACGAGAGCGATGAGCTAGTTATCACACACCCGCAAGCAACGCTACTACTGTAGACTAACCCGAATCTGCTGACTAGTGAACCGCTGCCTCGGGTCCTTCTCGAGAAGCTGCCAAGTCGAAAAATATATATATGTTAACAATGCTTAAAAAAGAGTCATGGATGTCGAAAAAAAAAAACAGTAGACGAACATGTTGCATGAGGTGGATAAGTTCCTCCTCTACCACTCGGTCGCCAACTTGTGTTGGGAACTCAATGGGGTCGCTCTGAGCGCAAACGAGGTATTAGACACGTATAGACTGCTGTCATTGTATTCCGTTGCAGTCGCTTACCTGAATTTTGCCGTATAGCACAGTCATGGTCTGGGCGATAAACGGTGGATGGCCGTAGACGAACATGTACAATGTAACCCCGCAAGCCCAGATATCTACAGGTTTGCCCTGAAAACTATCGCCTGTCAGCATCTCTGGTGCTAGTAAAGTTGATCCAGTCAGCTACGAAGCGGATCTACATGGCTTTGCGAGCAACGTACCCATGAAAATGGCCGTGCCGGCGGTTTGCCGCATATTTTCATTATCATGCTCCATTTCCTGAAAAAAAAAGAATCGCGTTCAGTTATATAAACGCAAGTCTCGTGATTGTGCTCGTACATGTGAAACACCAAAGTCTGCAATCCTGAGAATAACTTCATCGTCATCGACCGTTTTCAGGAGCAAATTCCCTGGCTTGATGTCACGGTGAATGATCTGATACCGAAAATAACGATTAGCAACCGTTTAATATTTAACGGATCATAATAAAAGCAAACGTACCTTGTTTTCGTGCAGGAAATCGATACCTTCAATCTAAAGAAATCAAACGACCGGTATGACGGACAATTGCTAGAAAACTCCAAAGTACATCTATGTTTCTTACCAGATGTGTGAAAAATGTTTTGGTAAGCTCCGCGTTCAATGGGGTGCATTTGCTGTAAGTCAAACAGTTAAAATTTCGTGATACTCAATCATTGAGAACAACTATCCGTACATATCATCGTCCAGTACGGGACCTCCTTCAACCAATTCACTGATCATATACAATTCATCGCTGTCTACACAAGCAGAATACGATTTAGCTCACAGCTACAACAGCCATCGCCACACCACAGCTACTCACCATCCGTATCGATGACTTCTCGTAGCACCACAATGTGTCTGTGTTTGAATCGCTTCCAGATGTTAAGCTCCTTCTTGACGGATTGCAGTGCGTTACCAAAGCGACCAACTCGAATTCGTTTCAGTGCCTTCTTGTCCACGCACTTTGCAGCAAACACCTCCTTGGTCTCGTTGCATTCCACTTTGAACACAATACCGTACGCTCCTTTGCCTAACTGCTCCATGAATGTGCTAAACAGTAAGAATCCACAAGAATGAATTACAAACTACAGGAGCGATAGACGTTCACAAAACATAAGACCACGTACTACTGGTTGAGATGTCTCCGGCCGTCAGCATCCACAGTCGCAATCATTTTTTTTGTCTCTCGGAAAGACTGTCCTCGCTTTCGTAATGGCACGATCGGCTTCATTCCCGTTAATTGCTTGTCAGCACTGCCCTGCTGGCTCAGTGAGGCTCGAGTAGGTGTGATAATAGATTTAACGACAACTAAAACGTCTGACGGGGATCCACTCTCCATTGTTGTTGACGCTAGAGAATCGGAGCTGGTCGTCCCAGTCGGTAGTGGGTCTGATAGAGGCCCACTCACAATTATTGCCTCCACTGGTGGTTCGAAATTGGGAGGCTCTAATGGAAGTCTACTCTCCACTTCCACAGCTTCCGGTACTGGCGATTCATTGTCGGGATCTGACGGGGGTTCAGTACACAGTCTGCTCTCCACTTGTCGTTCAGGATTGTCTATCACAGCACTTGGTGCCTTTGGCTTTGAAGCAGTCTGCTGTTCATCGAGCAATAAGGGAGCTAGAGTCTCGACTACTGCACCCTCGGATGATCCAGAACAATGTCCAATTGAGAGTGACGAGTCTAAAGCTCCAGAATTCAGAGCTGGAGTAGATTCCTGTTCACCTGCAAGGTCAAATTCAACAGCCGAAGGTCCCTCCATCGAGGCTGCTGATAGTATTGAGGTGGAGGATGAAGTTGATCGATTCATCGAAATGGAATGACGTCAATCACGCCAACCTTCAGCACAAATAAATGACTGGAGAACTCAGCAGACAAAGATAGTAGGACGCTGTCATCCTAGAATATATATTTACACAGCACTGATGACCAACTTAAAACCGCTGTCGGTTGTTCACCCTAGTAGTAATCGTAGCACAAGTCTTGGCAGTCGAGCAACGCCTTGACGTTATCTCGAACGTGTACCAGCCACGTGACCTGCTCGTCCAGATGCACCAGCATTTCCTCTAGTTGCGGGATCGGCACCGAGATCCGTGCATACTCGACAATCTCCACCTTCTGGCCGCGGAAGGCACTGTCCAGAAATAAGGATTTAAAATGACAAATGTTAAATATCCCCACGAAAATATAGACAACACTCACCAAACGCAGCCGATGAACTCTTTCCTGGATGCACAGCCCTCGGGAATGTTCGTGATCGCCTTTTGTGTAGCCATTAGACTGAAAGCCTCGACCAACTTTTAGCAAGACAATATTTTTGAATCTAGTCAGACCGACTGCAAACGTATCAAGGCCATACAGTGACGTACCAATTCTCCACGGTGGATGGAAAAATCGACAATGACTTCAGACGGAAGAGTGGGCTTGAAGCTCTGCAGGACCACATGGGTTAGATATACACGCTCACAAGCATTCGTCTACTGCTTCAGACTGCGTACATGGTCAACATGGGAACAATATGGGAACCGACGACGGCTTGGCAGTCGTAAGACGTTGGCGGCGTTGCGCAGTTCTTGGCAGATGCGACCTAAGCTTTGGAAAGTGCGCTGTACAATCTCCACATACACCTCAACGTCGTCGTTGTTTGGCTGATCGTTCAATAGGTCGTTGCGCTGCACGTGCAAGAATTCCTTGAGGGCGGTGAGTCTGCCCACTTGACTCTGCAAGATGCCGTGGAATTCGAGGATCTGGTTCAGCACGCAATACTGCTGCAGTCTGTGGACGGATATTGACAGCAATACTATTAGAATCAGTGAAACAATCATGATTTAGTATTGCTAGTCGTACGTGCTGTTGATCGGTGTATTGCGCTGGGCCTTGGTTAGCTTGAGCTCCACCTTGGTGAATACCACAAGGTGACCCTGTCATTAGGAGACGGATGTCATAACGGACATCAATATCCACGCTAAATCAGTACATTTCCACACTAATCGTACTTCGACGCGAATGTCGGCCTTGATGGCGGGCGATACAGCACTGCGGTCGGAGCGAATGCGCCCCCAGATGAAGTCGATACGCTCCAGCTCTTGTGCGGCATAGTTAACGGCTGAGTTCACGTCCTTGAGGAGGTAGTAACGTGTCTCTCGTTTCTGCTTTGCCACATTGATTGGGATCAGCAGCGTACTAAAATAGAGTAAATAGATTTACCCACCCATGCACTGAGCTCTTCATCACCCTCTTGCTCTTGGAGCCTCTTAAGTGGCGCTTGTGTCAGGCTGCTAGACATCGCTGCTGCTTCTTCTCGTTGCTATCTCTGGTCAGCGCGAAGTCGGAATGGCACAACTCGTGATGCCCGTGCGTGCCTGTCCCCTTCAACGTGGACGACAGCAAGACAGTGGACAAGCCAGACAACGTGTACCGTAATGTACATAATGCCTTTATTGCGACACGCTGCTCTACATTTATTAGTTTTAAGAATTGATTAATCTACAGAGCTGAATTCTAATGATGGTTATTGCTCCTGCTAAAGGCAAATTATCTCATTTAACAGTGTAACATATTCTGATTTCGCTCTTCAGATACCAGAGATTTGAGTTTCTGTAATTCTCTGCACATGTTGCTGCTCACCTCCACAAGCTTGATGGTGTTGGACATTTTTTGCTGAGCTTGTCACAACAAAGCCTCGATCTGTTGAGAACTTCTTCATTAAAAGTGGTGGTGAAGATCCACGACAGCGAGCCTTCATCATCGGTCTTCCGCTTTAGACATTCGTGTTGCGCAAGTTGAAGCTGACTTTTGCCTAAAGATACTTTTTCGGAACGGTATTTATATCGCTTCAGGGATGGCTACGTTTTGGACGTAGCCAACAGCTCAGCAACTATAATACTTACAGTTGTAATACAGCAGTATGGCAAAGGGGGCGACGGAGATGGCTCTAGCCGTGGAGGAAGGCAAAATTCGAGATCAGTACAACGCGCTACGTACTAGTGACCACGGCGTCAGGTAAAATAAATTCCGCTTGGACGAGCCCATTTCTGATTGCCGTTTGCCAGTCTTGAAGCATTGGCACAGTCGCTCTATTTCTTACAGAATGCCGAGTTCACGCTCTTCGATGTCAAGGACGCCTTCCGATCATCAACCTGTGGGGTATTCAGTTTATACTGGTTCTTTTCGTACTCAGCATTGACGAAGCGTTATGACAGGTTCAAGTGAGCGCTTTCTTGCATACCGAGAGTTTCAAATCGCTTTGGGCAAGGTCGCTCGCATTAAGTATTATGGCAATTGCGGTGGAGACGACAAGTCATCGAAGCTGCACCTTCGTCCGACTGAGCTGGAGCTCGTGTGCTCGTTGGTAGATAAACTGGCGAATGAACGTCACCACAACCAGCTTGACACTCTGCGCTGTCAGATAACTCGATGCAGCGTCCTCGACACGCTCGAGCACAAGTTGCCTCTACTAGTGCAGAGCTTTCAACTGTATGGCGCGCAGAACCGTCTTCCAACAGACGTATCAGCGTCCATGCTGTCCACCATCACGTTGGACGGATTCGTCGACTTCCTCAATGCGTACATGGAGTATGAGGACTTCTTCTCCTTCAATGACCTCGCACAGGTGCGTTTCTACAGTACTGTACATATCCACGTTCGGGTGGCTAACTCCAATTTTCAGATGTGTAGTGAGGTTGTTTCTGGGTTTGATAGGAGCACCAAGGCCGAGGCGAAGAAACACACTGGGGCGTCGACTCACACTGCAAGTGAGATGAATTTTGCGCAATTTCTGGAGATGTTTTGCCGTGTAGCTTGTGCACTGCACCACAAACTATTGCTTGGAGAGGGAATACAACTTCGACGAGCTGTTGAGTCCTGTCGTCTCGAGTTCAGCCTCGAAGTTCTTTTCGATCACTTGAGTATCAAGCTTATTCCGAACGACGAATCCACGAACCTACAAGTTTCGACTGTAGCCTCTGGTATTAAGACTCTCGCAGCTCTTTCGTCCCAATCACCTCGCGATGACTGCGCTGCTATGATGTCGATAGTTCAGAAAATTCGCGATGTTGTTCGGCTTGAAGCTGCTGACTACGCTATATTTCCGAAACCCAGATATCGGGTAAAACGCGAAGGTAGTTTGGCAACGGTAGGCCAGCTATCAAGAAGACCGAGTGACATCCCAACACATCGAACATCGTCGGGACGAACTACGTCTGGTGTTCACTTAACTAATGCTCAACCCAAACACGATGAGAGGCCAAAATCGCTACCTCAAATAGCCATGATACGAGAGGTTGCCATGCCTCCTGCGCTCCCTTCAGACGCCATTCAACTGCTTGAGAGTGCTCTGAAATTCCAGAATATGGCCCAGTACAATGTACGTTATAATACTGTAGTCCCGGACATCAAATAGTATTGGAATTTGCCTCACCGTTGTTTTGGTTTAACGCAGATGGCGTTGAATACTCTTGATCTCTGTAAACAGTGTTATCAAGAACAGTTCCCTCCACCCAGTGACGATCAGGTTGACCCAATTTGGACTGAAGTTCATCTCTTTTTCACTCTTCAAGCGGCAAGTGTCTACGATAGTGCTCACCGAGATACACAAGCTTTGACGAAGTACTACGAGGCAATGAAGTTGGCTCGTCAATTACCGGTAGCACATCCAGGACGACTATTAGTCATGAGCTGCATCGGAGCCACACTGTTCTATGTTGGTGAACTCGCTTTGGCACAGCAATGCCACCAATTAGTTTTGGATGCTCGAAAAGCTACCAAGAGTAAATGTAGTACTGGAGTTGATCCTCTCAACCAGCTGAGCAAACGAGCGCCTGCGAAGGCAGACAACACCACAAACTGCGTCCTCGTGGACACAGCAACAGCCATGAACAACGTTGCGTGCTGTTTATCCCAGGATCAGAGTGACGTGGCCTCTAAATCCCTGGACAACGCGTATTTGCTGCTCAAGCACGCTAGACAGATTTATGTCGATGCTTTCGGGCCTGCACACCCTCGCGTCGAACTAATATCACGCAACTTGGATCGTGTTAGAGCGTGTCAGCATGGCGTCGTCAGCGATGTGGCTGGTGCGTTGGCGCGTGGGGAGTACGCGCATGTGATTCCTGGATCGAGGTTCCAGATTAAAGCATTTGAATTTGCCTCGAAATCGTCGAAGAGTAGTGGCAAAAGTGGCAAGTCAGGTGGCAAAAAGAAAAAGAAAGGTGCCAAGTAGCTTGGAAATGATAGCGAATCTTTTAACAGTATGAATTTAGGTGACAGATCGACAATTCTATCAGACAAGTTCTATCCGTCTGAGCCTACGTCCTAGCTACTCTTCGTCTTGGAAGGGGACGTGAGAGTCCAAACTAGCAGATCTCCTAGCGCCTTCTTCCAGTACTTATCCAACGCAAACCATGCGACACAAAAGTAGAGCACGCGAGCTTCCATCATCCGCTCTTTATTCGTAATGAAATGGTTTGCAACGTGCGCGACGAGGCCAATAACAGCGCTCGTTCCGACAATCTGCAGGATGAATCCAAACGCGCCCACAGTCAATTCCACCACGCGGTTCGTCCGACTGTAGTTTGTCAAGTAGCGCAACACCGTCCCACTGGCGTACAAATTGGCAGCGGAAACCGCAAGAAATCCGATCGGGTGGGCACTTGTGTTCATCTGCCACTCCATGACCAGCTTGGGGATTGTGACAGCCTTCAGCCAGCTGACACTCAGCCCCACGATCGCCTTCAGTAAAGGCATTGGAACACGAAGACCGTCGACTATGACCACAACGAAGAAGTAAAGGGGCACCACGAGTCTCACAGTATCTTCGAACTGCGGTGCGGCACCGAAGACCGGGCGAATGATGGTCGTTCCCAGCAAATTAGCAGCGATACAAGCGAATAGAGCTCGGCCGTGGCGAATCGCTTCCTTGCGAAGTGAAGGGGGTCGACGTGCTAGTTGCGGTGGAGTCACAAATTCTGTGAGTTGCGTTCGCACAGCCAAACAAACCCAAACGATGAACGAGCGTTTGAGTAGAATCTGCAGCTCCGGAGATTGCACGTAGAATGCGCTGGTTGTGAACTCGAACCAAACCGCGAGGAGGGCCACGATGATCACGAGCAAATTCGGCAAAAACGTGGAGCAGACGGATACCCAGAGAGAAGATGAGCCGATTGCATCATTATGCCTTCTTTGGGATCGCTTAGAGAGAGTCGCATCCTTGACGGCGGCACGGCGCTTGACCATTGTAACGGGGATGAAAGACTGAAGGTCGGAAGTTCGAGTCGGAACAGCAGTTGATACGATGCCACGTTGCATGAATCTGTTTCAACAGGTACATCGTGTTATGGAGGCTCTGTAGTAAGGAAAAATGCATTTGCGGAATTTCGCGTCATTTCAATATAAAATGTGGATAGAAAGTGTAAGAAGGATACTGTACCATTTTCACCCCGACAAAGAGCAACGCCTGCATTTGGGAGTACTGTCCTCTACCGGGAGTTATTAAAAGCAACGCTCCATGGTATTAACCGCATTTTTCAGGTTGACAATTACTTTATTTTACCTGGTCACGCACACGACAACATTTTCATTAGCAGCTGCAGTTCTACCACGTCACAGTTTTCTTCTTGATCGACTCGATTAGCTGTGCTGGCAACAGCTCGCGGCTGAAAAAGGAGAGCGTCCCGAACTCCTCCATCACCTGCTCGCCATACATGTATCTCACCCACTCCCACATACAGCCGCTAGCATTCGCTGAAGCGTTCAGCTTCTCGGACTCCTGTAGCGACAACGGCGGAGAGCCCTCGGTCGCCTCGGACAGCAGCACGAGGAACTCTGCAGACAGTTTGGTATCGCGCAAGTTCGGTAGAAGCCTCACGTACTCGTCAAACTCACGCAACGTGAAGCTATCGTCGATCTCTGGTTCGTTTCGGCCATAGTTGCGCTGTTTGTCGGGGAATTTGGAGCTCTTAAGATACGCAAAACGCTCACTCCCACTGGACCATTCGCAACCCTCCGACTCGAATCGCTCTGCGAACAGGTCGAACTGCTTCTTGAGCTCCTCATAAACAAGCGAGAACGGCAACTTCCACTCCCAGTCCTTCTTTAGATTTGGCCACTTACAGCCACTGCGAGTGGGGAAATCCATCAGATACGTGTACAGCGATTCGCGAGTGCTCCAGATAGCCAAAAAGGGGTTGCAAAGACCCAACCCACCATCGTTTAACGACCAGTGTAGCCAAGCCGCATGCATCGACGGACTCGGACCTTGACGGCCACGCATGATCTGCTCACGTAGGTCGCCTAAAGCATCGCCCTTCGTCTTCGGAAACACCAGTGTGTGAATGCGGCGAAGTGCTGATAAAGCGTCTTCCACGTGACTTAGACCGAATATGGGCGACGGGTTCCCAAAGTTACGGAGGAAGAAGAACATGTACTTATTGTACACGTTGATCCACCCGAACGTTGATGTAGCAGCGGCCAGTCGGTCAGCCATTTCGGTAGCAAATGCCTCCGTTTCGTCTTGACGGATGTGAACGGATCCGTTCGATCGCAACTCGAGAAGACCCCATCGGATTGGAGTCGCTGGTAGTGGGGCTGACGCTACCTCGGCTTCTGTCTTGTTGGATCCGGCGTATATCCGAATCGATCCACTCTTCTCTTCGTTGAATTTTAGCCCCACTTGCTGTGCGTATCGTTGCATCTCACTCCAAGCTTTCAACACCTTCGACTCGTCTGCGTCAAAGAAGCAAATGTCGTCATGTGACCGGTACAGGAAAATGCCCGACGAAACGAGCACCATGTAATCCATCACGAACAACTCCACCTCGGCGAGAAACATCGTCATCATTCGACTAACAGGCAAGCCTCGTTGCATGATTTTAGGCGTTGTGAAACCAGGGAAGAGTAGCGGGATATGAGTGTATCGTCGGAATACGTCGATCATGTCGTCGCGTACCCCCAAGAAGCCTAAGATCGCGAACACAGCTTCGTGTGCAACAGATGGGCCAAAGAACTCGAGATCCGTCATGACAGCCACCAAAGGTGATGGATCCTTGTCGTCGGGTGTTAGTGTTTGTTGGAGATGCGCCTCAACCAACACACGTCGAATAATATCCTGTTTGTTGCCCTTCGCTTCCTGCTCTTCTTCATCGTCAGACACTGAATCGTCTTCATCATATGGACTACGGCCACCGTCTTTCATGCTGCTTGGTAGAGCGAACAACTGAAATCGTCGTATCATATCGGCCCGGATAGACTCCACCGACGAAGTTCCACGCACGTGTGGCTTGTCACTCAGTGAATCCAGTAGATCTCGAAGCACTGCCTTCATTTCAATACTCCACTTGAGTCCATGTACTGGAAGAGCAGCAGTGTGATCGCCTCTTCTTGTAGCAGACAACGGAATCGTCCGTTCATACCACGTTGGATATCCACTCGAACACCGTGTTCAGGCCAGCGCCACTCGCTCACGTTGCTAAGTTCGATTGTCAGAACATGCGAAAGCTCCTTCATTATCTGCTTATTGCTCTGCGCATCAGTGAGCAAAACCACCACGTCGGGATTGAGAAAAGCTTTGTCCTTGAGCAATGCCGCTACACAGCTCGACACATCTTCTTCCGTGACAGGGGAGTCTCCACGTAGCATGCTGTCACCAAACTGACCCAAACGACTACGTGCGAGCTGCAACGCTTCCTGTTGGCGCTGCGTTTTGGCTTTGGAGAACTCCTCACGTTCCTGGAACACTTCGGTCTTCAGGAACTCCAACACGTCGTCTTCCGACACTCCGCTGCTCCGGAAGAAATACGACTCTAGACGCTGTTGCGTCTCCTCCCTCGACAGTTTTGCAAGTGGTTCCTTGTTGCCAATGTCGGTAGTGGATTCAGGTTCACTGTCTTGAGAACGTACCAGCTCGCCGTCCTCTTGATCGTGCTCCGTCTCCACGAGCGACTCCATGAGCAGCTCCCCCAACAATTTATTGTGTTGCCAGAGACTACGACGCTGACGAATTTCGCGTAGAATCTGCTGCTTACGCTGCTCGACCACCGTCTCCGTGCTCCAAGGGTCAGCAGCTGCGAACTCGACCAGCTCTCCGATGCTCTCAAGCCCGTCGTGTACATAGGTCTGCACGACCTGCAGGTCCTTCACGCCTTCATACAGACCGTCCAACTGCTCTCGAGACTGCTTAGCGCTCGTTTGGGCTGCAGGCTTGTGTCCGTCCAGCTTTGTTTTGGCAAGTAGCTCTGTGTAGTACGTCTCCAGCTTGCGTTCGTGCTTGGTGAGTTCCCCCAACTTGATCTGCGTCGACAGCTTGAGCAACTGGAAGTGCGCGTTTGCTGATTTCTTGGACGAAGCCATATCGGAACGAGGAGTAGCTTGATCACGAAATGGCAAAACGAAGAGTGAGCTTTAAAATATAGGATGGAAATACCATGGTGCATCCATATCTTCAGACCATCACTCATAAAAAAAAAGCTTTACAATGAACACTACATGTAAATTACAATGCTGTCAAACTGTGGATTATACAAAGAACTTTGGATATCCATGTGCGCTATATTCTCTGGGGAGTTTCCCCCTCATTTATGATGTCGATCTAAAAGTCTCCACCAAATTCGCCACCACCGCCTCCATCGCCGCCCATGTCACCTAGGGCTTCACCGATTAGAAGACCACCCAGTAGACCTCCCGCAGCACCCATAGCCACAGCACCGCCCGTGCCCATCCCACGACGTCCGCCTCGACCATAGTCGTCTCGATAGCCGCCAGGTCCGTAGCCCGGCTGAACGTATGTAGGTTGAGCGTAGCCTCCTTGGGCATACACTGGCTGCTCGTAACTGCCTGGTGCGTAGCCTTGCTGGGGGTAGCCACCTTGGGCGTACACGGGTTGCTGGGGGTACGCCATACCAGCTTCAGGTCGGTAAGCACCTTGCTGCTGCGTGCGACGCTTGCGAATGGCCATCAGGGCGCTAGCACCGATCAGTCCACCGACGGCGAAGACGCCGAGACCGATCCAGATCCAGTACGACGGGCGCTCGTTCTTTTTGAGCTGGCACGTGCATTCGTAAGTGTTGTCCGAGGAGCAGACATCGCTGGCTGGGCAGCAGCATGCGCGTCGGTTGCTAGATCGGTCCAGCCACGAGTTACAAAATTTCCCAGCGGCTCCGTTGTAGGCCTTGGAGCAGTCGCCACCGTCACGGCAAATTTCGCATTGGCTCTTGGAGCTCGACGAGGAGGATGAAGAGTTCGTTGTCGAGTTCGTGAAAATGGAGGTGGACGTTGAGCCGCTGGACGATTGGGAGGAGGCTACCGTCGCCAGCAGCGCTAGCAGTACTAAGCTGCGCAAGACGCCGCGATGCATTTTCACTGTGCGCGGTAGCTCTTGAAATGAAAGGGAAAACGATGTTCAGTCGGTAACAGCCGCTACGCGAACTCCGTTTGGCAAAGTCTGTTTGACTAGGTATTTGTACAGTATTTATAAGTGGAGTTCTGTCAACATGTAGCGCATTACCGCCGGTAATATGTGCCAGCAAAAGTGGATACAACTGCTTCTAAAATCCAGCGATCACTTGTTGAGACATCATGTCTTGACGGCAGAGCCTGTCGACGAGACTCGAGGGTCAAGTTGCCGAACAGCGAATCCCATTAATTCCGATTGTAGGTACAAATTGTACCGTACTGTACAATATGGCAATTGCTTGGGGGAGGCGCGTGGTGACGGGGATAGTGGGGATCCCGACGGCGCTATGGTTGCTGAGCTCCGACATGGGCATGCTGATGCTCGCCACGACGCTGTGCTGCTTGTCGCTCGTTGAATTCACCTCCTCCATCTGCCCGCAGATCGTGCCGCATTCAAAATCAGCGACGGAAAAGCTGGCGCAAAACGTGCTGGTGGTGGCGTCGGGTGCTGTACTGTGCGTGGGTGCGTGGACTGGCGTCAAGATCGTCCATGGTGGGAAGGTTGTAGCTGCTGCAGCTGGAATGGAGGCTATGATTCTAACGGCTTAATGCTGCCGCAGACGCCTTGAGCCTCGGATTAACGTTAGCGATCTTCTCTTTCCATATTGCTATCACAAAGAAGATGGATCAAACAGGTACTGTGACGAATGGTTCTGTTCGCTTTAATGGATTGACACTGATGAGTTTTAAATTGCAATAGCACTGACCAAGTTGCTGCTGGATCTGTTTGCGCTGGTTTACATCGTGAACGGCTTCAGTCACGCAATTTTACTGCGATACAGCTCGAGCAAGTTTGGACTTGGATTACAGATCCTCGGACTTTGCTGCGCCTGGGTATGCGACAGCGGTGCACTCGTTGCGGGGTCATTTATGGGCGACGCTAAACTGGCGCCGGTTGTTAGTCCTGGCAAGACACTTGTCGGCGCGATTGCTGGCGTCGTTTCCAGCGTTGCCACAGTGCTGGTCATGTTTGCACTCCCAAACTTTTCTAATGTGTTGCCCTGGACACACGATTTGCTGCCTCCGCTCGATGTCGTGCCTGTCACTCACCAACTAGTGCTCGGCACAGTTATTGGCGTCTTGTGCATCGTGGGAGACCTGGTTGAGTCATACGTGAAGCGTGTTGCCGGTGTAAAAGACTCGGGAGCTTTCTTTCCTGGCCATGGCGGCTGCCTTGATCGCATGGACAGCTTTCTCTTTGTTGCGCCGTGTCTGTACTTCTATAGTCAGTTTGCGCTGCCAAACTAAGTCGACCAAGCGTCACATCAATAGAAAATTGAAGCTTACAAGTACACTGCAATTTGCAATTTACATTGTGGCGTCGACAGCCTCCTCCACGATCGACTCGATCGCTTTCTGCTTCTTGTTCCTACCTCTCTTTTTAATCTCCGGCTTCAAAGGTTCAATAGCCGGAAGATTCTTCGCAGCCTCCACCGCTGCAACTTGCGTAGGGTCATTGATGTCAATTGTTTCCACTCTCTTTGTCTTCGAATTCTTCCGCAGGAACTTCTGACGGTCTTTTCTTGATCCGCCTAGCTTGCTCGAGTACTGGCGGATGCGGTCCCTGAAAACAAACAGCAATCGCAATTATTAGAGTCGGTAATACCAATAAAACATGCGATGTATCAAACAAGTAGGAGCTTTGGGTACACGTACGTTATGACACCCGAGTCCGACTCGCTGAGCTTGAAGGACGTCCTGCGCATAGCCATGCTGAGCTCAGTAACCTTCCCGTCACCGATGCCGTGCAGCGCGTCCAGCTTTGCGGCAGCCACTGCCTGTTGGCGGGCGATATCATCGTACACGCATTTCTCCTTCTCTTTAGTACGCCAGTAGTAGATGCCCACGCATACGAGCAGCAGGATGGACAGGTTCGATCCGAAGGCGGACTAAGAGGAAAGCAGCAAACAAATGAGTTACATCGAGTAGTCAATAAAGCAGTGAAACACGTCTACGCACCTTCACCATGCCCTTGGCGATCACGCCGAACATGAATAGGAGCAGCAGATACTGCGTGCGGAGCTCCATGATGCCGTGCGCCCTCCCCCACGTCCGTTCTTGCACTGTTGTAGTTGATCGTACTTTAAAAAATATGTGTGGGTCACACATACCGGTTTATTAAAATATACTTTTTTAGCTTGTTTCTAATTTAAATTCTTTTTTGTAGTATTGCTTTTAGATAAATGGTAATCTTGTGCTTAAATGTTTTAAAAGAGAACATGCATTACTGTACAACTTTTCGTATTTGTACCTGATGTACCTTAAGCACTTCATAGCGCAGGACATTTTACCAGTAAGTGGCAAGAACTATCAGATTTCGGTCCGTGGAGCTCACTATGCCAGCACCTCATTTAACTATAGTACGTAACGCAAGGCAAGCCTTGCGAGCAGCTTTTAACTAACAGAACCAGCAAGAAAATTCCAACCCGTGCATTACTAATTTAAAAGCTCTTGATAATCTATACCAGGAAACTGCGCCTTATATACATACATTTCTTGACGGAGATCACTGGCGCTAAAGGTTTCGGATACTCCATTTCGATCGGCTAGTCCAATCACGGCTCATCGAAACCCAAAAACTCCCACACGAGGTGCATTACATTCTCGTCTAACGGCTCACCCAACGAGAACCGCTCGAACACACGTAGTACCGCCAGACGCTCAAACAGGTAGTTCTCGTGCCATGTAGCGCAGTCACCTGTGAACTCGAAGTCACCGAGCTCCGGAGGGAACTCATTGCCGTACTCGATCGCCAGGTGCTCCAGATGTACGTTGTACTGAAGAGCCTCCAACAGAGCTCGCGTACCGATAGCGTCAATGTCGTTGAAGAGCAAGCTTAGGTCTGTAAGCCAGGAGCCCATCGGATACTGGCTGTCACTGATCAGCAGCATGGCAAGATCGAACGCACCACGGAAACCAAGCATGTTGGAGTCCAGATTGAGACTCCGGATACGACAGCGGCCCTTCTTGTACGCCTCCAGCAAAGGAGTGATGTCCGTGAGCTGACAGTCGGACAGGTTTAACGAGGTTAAATAGGGCGAGAAATAGATAATCCGGTGCAAGATCTCGGTGGCCGGAATGCCGAACTGATCCGGGTTGCCGATCCGGTTCTCGCTCAAGTTGATGTCCTCCAGACGATCACTGATGCCCGTCATCTGGAAGAAGAGCGTAATCAGCGGCACCACCATGCCCTCGGCGTCCGATGCCTCGATCATGTTCCAGAACGAGACTGAGCGCATTAGCGTCGCTGGCGAGCATATCCTTGGCGACATGCCGATCTCGGTCATTTCAATAGCACTCTGGCGTGGCACCCATCCGAGTCCGAAGCCAGGAACGACAACACACAGCCACTTGCGCAAGATGCAAAATACTTCTAGCAGCTCTTTCTCGACGAGCAAGTCGCTGTACACTTCGTGCTGCGAAAGCTTGGACGTCGGCAGCGGACGCACAGTGGTGCCCTTCTTGATGAGAGCGAACACGCGACGGTGCGGGATGCCCTTCAGCAGTGCACGTTTGACGTCCTCGCGCAGAATCTTGTCACGGTTGCTCTTGCTGTACCGCTGCAGGGCAGCGGCGTATTCCGGGATCAGCAGAATCAGCGCTGGGTGGCCACCGGCCATGATGCCTTCCACGATACGGATGTCCTTCATTCGCATCATGTTGCGCGACAAGTCAAGCTTTTCAATTCGGGCAGTTGAGTTCGGGTGGAACAGGCCGTATACAAGCCAGCCCCAGCACAAGTGCAGATCTTCCTCCTTAACTTGTGCTGGGTCCATCAGCTCTTGCAGATCGATGTTCTGCAAGGTATTTGAGTAATGCATCGCTGAGCCGATGCTGGCGAAGAACGTGTTGTCCATGGGGCACTCGCGAATGGCGATCTCCTTCATTAAGCCACGCTGCTCCTCGGGAAGCTCGGCAGCCATCGAATTGTACTTGATCACCGGGTGTACAGCGAAGATCGCAGTGCAGAAGCGACGGAAGGCAACGCGGTGCTGGTGGATGAAGTTGGCGTCCAGCGCGTCGATGAGGTGGATTTGTCGGACGTGCGCCATCTTGTCGCGGATGAGGCGCGTGAGCGAGTTGAGCTGGATTTCGTTCATGTGGAAGTGGCGCAAGGTGAGGAACTCGATGACCTTGCCCACCTGCGTGCCCTGGTACACATAGCGGCGCACTTCCTGCTCCTGAATAATGCGAAGCAGGTGCTTGAGGTCCACGAAGTCGTGTGCGAGCTCGAAGCTGAGGCCATGGTGCTCTCCGCGGTGGTATTCGCAACGCACAAAGTAGTCCACATCGCAGGAGCAGAACGGGAGCGCCTCGGGCTCACTTTCCGTCTCCGAGTAAGTTCCCGTAGAGTCATGATATTTGCGCCCCGAGCCAACTGGGGGAGAGGTCGAGGAGGATCCATAGTAGGCCATTTTGGCGCCAACCATGTCAAGGCGAGGATGCTGCTGCTGTGGCGAGTGATACGATGCTGTCTGATGTAAATAAGACTGCATCCAGCGGCGGATGCGGCTGTATGGCTACAGCGCGAACGTGAGGGTAGGAATCAAAGTGACCACCGAGAGAAGGTCGCCACCAGGCCACCTTGCGCGTATCTGTTCGCAACGTGCGTGTGCGTGCAGCAAACGATTGAAGCTCGTTGCCTTCACGTGCGGCTTTTTTGTGGTCTGTGTTTTGATTGGCAGACAACGTTGGTTCGAATTGTAGCACCGTGTACTTGATGTCATTGGGTTTGGATATTGAGGAGCGTGATGTCGTTAGAGATCAGCATTGCAATACGTGGCTTTAGGCGCATTACACTTCAGGAAATGCACTCCCACTAGGCGAATGCCATTGCGTTTGTGCCTGTCGTTCGCCGCCCCTGCACCTATTAACCTGCCGCCCCGTGTTCAATAACCGCGGCAATATCGTACTGCCAGGGTGGTGGCTTGGGTGACTGGCTGCCAGCCACCCAAGCCACCACCGAAATATCGACCAGGTACATGTATTAATAAAATACTACAGTAGTACAGTAGAAAGCTTTGTTGTGATACACTGCCATTTGACGTTGCTTAAAAAAGTTGATGCAGCTTTGAACCAATTCGGTGTATTTCGGTTTTGTCGCTTCTTGTGCGTGTTTTTTGCACATCGGATTCCACCGACATATCGTTTCGTCACCTTCATCCCGGATACGATATCCGGCGACTCGTATCGTGTTGGGTCTAGGAGAGGATATTGTCGCGGTCTCCTTCTCTTGTCGGGGTCGTGTATCTTGTGAAAGCCGACGTAGGAACTTCGACATATTAGATGTGTAAAATATACTTGTTTCTTATTTGTTTTTCTTGAGCACTTCTCGTAAAAGAAGGAAATTCACGACTGAGGGTTCTCTCACCAGCTCTCTAACTTGCCAAAGTACCTCCTATGTGACGGGGTCACACAGCACCTTGCGCTAGAGGAAGTTATCTTCCGAGAGTATACAAACTCTCAGTGAACGGCAGTTCACAGGTCCCCTCTTTAATTACCGTATTCCTTATGTGATTGGCGACAGTCAAATTCTTGAGGTGGTCCAGCCTTTCTGCCAGCATAAAAGATACCTGCATAGAAAAAACTATATGACATGCTCAAAAATATATTGGTCGCCAAGCACATAAAGCGCGACGACACGAAATTTAAATCAATTTGATTGGCTGCTGGATTTGTCGCTAATGACCGAGCGTCGCCAATCACATAAGGAATACGGTAAAGAGAGCGAAGTGACCTAAATAAGGTAGATTGTAAACTGAGTATATTTATAGGTAGGTTAAGTTTGAGGTTAATACAAACTATCAGTTACCTATAGAAATGCAATGTCATTTAGCCAATGGTTGGTTTTGAATGACCTTGGTACCTTGTACCAAATATCCCGGAGTATGACATGTCATACTCCTGAAGTGTGAAGTGTCACACTTCATGTAACCAGGGTACACTTAGTGCTACGTACCCCGTTACATCCTCCCCCACTTAGGTTCGGTTTACCGACCAATCAGAATGAAGAGATGTTCGTCACAAACTCTCATTCTCAAAGTCGAAAACCATCGACTCGGCCGCGCGAGCGCGGCGGAGGCTCACTTTACAGTTAGAGCCTCGAGCAGCAACCTGTGCGCTCTTCGTCAAGGTCTCCACTTCGACCGTTAACATGCCTCGTGGCACTGCTAAGAGCGGTGCTAGGACACGCTCCAAGGCTGCAGCAGGTAAGGCGCAGGCCAAGAGCACTAAGCCTCACGGCAAAGGCTCTGCACTTAAGGAGGCTACTCAGGTGGCCTCCGAGGCGATCGGATCCTCGGGTGACGCGGCTGCGGACAAGCGCGCAAGCAGGCGCCGCAGTCCGTCGCCCTCGTCTTCAGACAATCGTCCGAACCCTCGGTTCGTAGAACGTGAGTTCAACTCGGGCAGTGAGGACGATGCCGAGTCCGAGAGCACTCATGATGCTCCTGCGGGCTCTGTGGGAGGGCACAGCCCAGTGCCCAGTGAGCACAAAGAAGACAGCGTGCAGTCGTCCGCTAGTGATCACGGTGATCACAGTCCCAGGACCTCTGTGCGCTCTGAGAGTCCGGCCGTTAAGGCTAAGGGCACTCCCAAAGCCGGTGGCGATGAGGAAGGGAGTCCTCGCAAACGTCTCTCGCTTGCCGAGGGTCTTGCGCGCGCTAAGGCCTCTAAAGCCGAAGGCGCCAAGCCCTCAAAGAAGCGTACCGCCTCTAAGTCTCCACTCCGCGAGGAGAAGGAGACTCGACGCTCCTATCAGAGTCTCTTCGGCTCCTCGGATGAAGAGGAGGAGAAGGAAGAAGAGGAAGAGGAGGGTGCCATTGTTGAGCCCCGGGAGGTCTCGAATGACCTCGACCAGCAGCAGGAGGATTTCCAAGCTGCCCAGCGTGTGCGTGGGGGTTCGGTGGCGGCACCCGTCAGCCAGGGAGCTGCCATCAACTCAAGAGGGTATTGGCCTCCCGAGGAGAGCTCTGGGGCTGACCTCTTCTTAGAGCTTCTCGTCGCTCCTCGTGGCCTTGTGGGCGGCCACACTTCTAGGGGCATCTATGAACGAGCCCTTGTTCAGAAAGAACAGTTGTTCGTCGACAACGTGGAGGCTGCTCGGTGTGTGCTTCTCGCGCCACACCGCATTCCCCTTAAGGACTTCACGACTTGTCGTAAGAAGCCCGAGACCCGGGGTGGTCTCTATCCTGTTTGGGGATACCCCTGGGTTATGCCCGAGAACTGTCCCACATGGAGTTCTTGTGAGGACATGTTCTGGGCGTGGGTGGAGACTCTCAAGTACTCGCCCACGGAGTTATGGGAACTCCATGAAGATCAGCAGCTGTCCCACATCCTGGACCAGCGTGATCTTCGTGTGAGGTTTGCCCACTTGATCAGCAAGCGTATGCTGCCAAGGGACATCCTGAAGCGCGCGGCTTCTAGCGCTCACGATGAGCGCGGGTACGGTATGTATTCATCATCCGTACCCCGTTCGGGCAAGAAGCCCCGGACTACTTATGAAGCTGCCGCCGCTTCTGTTCCCAGATTGCGACAGCCTTCGGGCAGTCAATCAGGAGCCGTTCAATCGGCTCCCACGAGTTCTCGGAGTGGGCATAACCCCTCCACTTCACGAGGAGCTGTCGCTTCCCGCGACACCGTTGCTCCTGGGGGATCCGCTCCACGTGGAAGTGGACTTCTCCATTCCGGTCAAGCAGGGGCGGAGGTGCCCTCGTACGAGTACGAGTACTCGGCGCCTCCCGAGAGCCACTCTCGTTCGAGTGCTCCGACTGCGGGTCCGACACGGGACCCTGAGGTTGACCGCCTCCGTCAACGTCTCCTCGTGCTTGAGATTGCACTTGGCCTTGGGACTGGCGGTAATGCTGCCGCCCAGGCCGGGAATCAGGGCGAGCTCGCTCGTCTTGCGGGTCGCCTGGACCTGGTGGAGCGAGAGGTCGCGAGCCTGCACCTGCGAGTGGACCGCCGGGCCTCTTCGTCCGATCTGGACGAGGCCTTTCGCATGATCCGACGGATCGAGGCTTTGTTGCCACGTCCGGAGCCGCCTGCGGCACACTCCCAGACGTACGCGTATGGTGCGTACCCGGCGTACTCAGCGTACTCGGCGTATGGCGCCGGGGTCCGTTCGTATGGAGCCCCTCCGGCGTACGGTCTTGACCGCAGCCTTGCCGTCCCGACCGAGGCTTGGGTGCCTGCTCCGACGCCCTCGTCGACGACTGTGACCGGCCCTCGCTTCGAGGAGCTGGGTCAAGGGGGGTCTGCGAGTCAGCAACCCCCTGCGGGTCAAAGTACCGCTTAAGACGTCCGACATAGAACGTCGGGTGCGTCGTCATTGACTTTGGAAGGTCGATGGTGTACGACGCACCATGTCTGGCCAGGACTGCAAAAGGTCCGATGAAGCGGTGCTTCAGCTTGTTGCTGCCGACAGAGCTAACAGTGTCTAGAGGTAGGTTCCTCGTGTCTAGTAACACTAAGTCACCAATCTCAAATATACTTAAGTTTCCTCTTCCTTGTTTGTCCGAGTACTCCTTTTGTTTATCTTGGGCCGCTGCCATGGCATCGCGGACCCTGCTGACAATGTTCAGCTTGGTATCCATAAAGGATTCCACCTGTTTCCGCAGCGAAACTGGCCTCACATCCGAGACCTGGGAGGAAAGGGCTTTCCGAGCCTCTCCCCCACTTAGAATAGAGGAGTCAGTGTTTCCTCGAAGAGTGAGAGGCACTCTGGTGTGGCGGAAGCCGTTCAAGTAGAACGGCGTGAGCCCCGTGGACGCGTGCACCGCGTTGTTGAGCGCAAACTCAACAACTGGAAGCTGCGTCGACCACGTACGTGGCGCTGCCGCGCACACACTGCGCAGAGTGTCCTCGAGCACTCGATTGACGCGCTCTGTTTGGCCGTCTGTCTGCGGATGATCCGCAGTGGACATCTGCAGACGAGTTCCCAGTAAAGGGAACAGCGTTTTCCAAAACGCAGCAGTGAACCGCGGGTCTCGGTCCGAGACAATCGTCTCCGGGAGACCGTGATAGCGGAACACGCCATCGACGAACGGCCTTGCGGTTTGTTCGCCCGTCACAGTGACGGGAACTGGAGCAAGATGTACCATCTTGCTCAGCCGACACACGAAAACCAAAATTCCGGTGTTGCCGTGTCCGTCGGCGGGAAGCCCAAAGATGAAGTCAAGACTCATCGACTTCCAACAATCAGCCGGTACGGGCAGGCTCTGTAGTGGAGCCGAAGAGTGCCCTGCGGGTTTAACCCGCTGACATGTTTCACATGTCTTGACGTACCGGGCGACCCACTTGTACATGTGGGTCCACCAGAAGGACTGAGAGACCGACAGAAAGGTCTTCTCGCGGCCCAAGTGGCCGCTGGAGGGCGCGTCATGCGCCTCCGCGAGGATGTCGAACTTCAGATCCTCGTCGTTGGGTACGACCACCCGTGGAGGATCAGTGGGCTCCACCCGATAATAGAGGAGGCCCTCCTTCAACTCATATCGGTGGAGCCGTGAGCGCTGTCGCGACGAGAGCCAGTCGGACTTCG